AACATTACTGTTTAATTATATGAGGTAACTAAAGCTTGTTGGGGTATTTTTTCCCCAACATGCTCAGCCTTTAGGAAACCATGTGATCTGTATTTGTGGAAAAAAGTTAAGATTGTGATCACTTATAGAGGAGTGCTTCACATGTGCGCCACAATATCCTAAACAAAAGGATACAGACTAAAGAATATTAAAACACCAGAAAGTAGAAATGAAACAAAGGCATATCTAAGTAGTTGGGTACTTAGATTACTGTTGTGCTGCAAAACCCTTTGCACGTGGAAAGAATGTATCTATGAATATATAGCACAATGCTCATTTGAATGGCTTTTGGGTTCTCAATTCAATTATGCCTTCTTATACCGCAAAGAGCCTGTCAAACACCAATCAGAAGTTGATTGAAAAAACATGCGAGCACAAAGCCGTTTGTAGATTTCTCCTGGTGACTTGTTTGGGAGTTTTGTTAGTTCCACACTGAAGCCCTCTCTTCCTCCGTAGCTCCAGCCTGCACTTCATTAGCTTTCTTCTATTCCCAGAACTCCTGTAGATGTGACTCCTCTCTTCCGGGATGGAGGAATGTTTCTCCCTCAGGTCCGACTGATGGAACGGGTTGAGGCCATGCAGGGGGCTGGGCCTGTTTGTTCAGGATGTGTTGAGAGGGAAGGAGGAGAGAGAGAGATGGTCGACCCCCCTCAATTCACCCCACAAATCCCTGGATCCCATGGCTGAAAATCACTGCCAGCTGAGCTGACCTGCTTATCCATGCCGACATCAGACCTAACGAGGGCTCCTGCTGGATAAAGAGCCAGACTGAGCTTCAGACACTGTCGAGCAGTCGTTGCTTTTGTTGTGGGATCATATTTCAATGAGGGTACAGTGACTAACAGGAAGTAGTCCTTGGAGAACCATCATTGCTGCATCCTTCCACAATGGTTCTACCATCCTCATACATTATGAATACGACATGTTAATATAAACCGTAACATAGCGGAACCATGTGGAGTCACTTCTCTGGAATAATGTCATGCAACTTCCTGCTCGGCTATAAATCAGTCCCTCTTTTACGTCAACATCAATTACATCTTTAAACATCAGCTTTTAAAATGCTGCTCTCTCTCCTTTCCCTTTTTCCCGCCATCATGAGCGACTGACCTCGCTCTGTGGAGCATTCAATGACCTCAGAGCAGAAAGTACTGCAGCACTTATTCCCACTCTCTTTCCTCTGAACACCCACAATCACACACACGCTCAGTCTGTACAAAGTAGAGCAGAAAGAACAAAATGGAAGCAAAGATGCTGGCCCCATTGGGGAAAGGCAAAGCCCGAACTACAGTTATAGATTTGTCTTTGTTCCTTGAGGGTTTTTAGAGGTTACAGAGTGAGATAGCAAACCCCAGATGGGTACCGTAGTAGCTCTTAAAAGCACCTTGTAGTTTATTGTATTTTCAGTTATTTAACGTAGAATTAATTCACATCCCAACAGTTACATTGTCATTAAACATAATTGAAAAACGTATTTCTGTTCGTCAATACTTTCACAATTAGTCAAAACAATAGAAAGGCAATTACTCCTAACAAAATAGCACAGAAGAAAACAATACAACAAAACATAATGCAGCTAAGAGTCCACAGCCATGCTTGCAGCTAAAAAAGGACACAGCAGCATACTCATAACAATGCTAACATGCTCATGATCAGGGGGCGCCGCCAGGGATTTTGGGCCCCATGAAAAGATATCACATTGGTTACTTTTTTCTTAATGTTCTAAAATTGTTTAGGCCCCTGTCAGTCACGGGCCCTTAGAATCGTCCTAACTTTTCACCCCCTTACGGCGCCCCTGCTGATGTTAAGCTGTTATAATGTTTATCATTTATAACCTTTGCTAATTAGCACCAAACACAAAGTGCAGCTAAGGCTGAAAGTGTTTATTTCTGCAGGTATCCTAAATCAAAATATTGGATTAATTGTCCTGATTACAATCCATTTGCCACATAAATGTGTATCATATTGTTTTGACTTGAGCTCCAGTGAACATATTTTATATTTGTACCTTGGTTTCATAAATGTGCCCCCCTAAGTAGAAAGAAAATATATAATTTACTTGTCCAATTTTTTTCAAGTCATGCAGGCTTTTCTTTATATAAATAACAATGTCCTGCTGTACCCAAAACGTATTTTCATCATCACTTTATCCAGGTCAGTAATCAAACTTAATAAAAACAACAAATCACCAGTGGCTGTGCTGTTGCTGTGACAGCACGGAGGGTGTCACTTTAAACTCCAGGGATGAATGCCTCACCAGTTGCCACGACAGATGGATGGGGAGATTCATCCCAATGGCGATTATGAAATCAAATCAGATTTTCAATGTGCAGTGCAAGTGTTTTATGTTGGTCCAGCAGGATCAGGAAGTTCTTTTTTTAGCCCTGGTGCTGCGTGCTGGCTAACGCTTCAACATGGTGTATTGCCCCGAGAGAGTCAGTTAGCATTTATTCCCCGTGAAGTTTCCCTGCGTCACGGTGGCCTTGGATGACCCTAGATGGGTCAGGAGGAACATTTACAGAACTCAAATCTGTTGCAGCATGTGAACACACGTGCAATTTAACATGATAATATTTCCAGTTGCATCCAAACACCATCTAACCTGTTGTAATAAGACTAAATATGTTCTGAATGATACCATAGACTAGTATGTGGTAGTTTGACCGCTGCAGCAGGACAAAATGTTTTAATATTTCACAATCAAATATTTGGTTGAAAAGCAGAAGTGCCTTTCTTCTCGTTAGCAAAGTGTCTCAGTTGTATGAGTCGTTTTCACTTACAGTAAGCTTTAGATTTATATTTACCTTGTAGTCTGTTACACTTTCTCTCTGACAAGGATCAGAAAAGGACAAGTTGTGGTTGTGAATTAGATTCAAATTTACAAAATAATAAGTATTTGTTGATGCAGGCTCAGGCAGGCAACATGACTGAATCTGCTATTTCTCTGAGGCTTTTAGTAATCATAGGCTATTGTGAACTATGAATGACCGTCTTTTGCAACCATTTTGTTGGTTTGCTGTCCCTGGGTTACAAATCAGTAAATGTGGTTCCAGTAAAACGTTATTAATGTAGTCACAAAAAGTATTCACAAATACATCTGCTGTTTGAACTTTTGACCATATTGACTTCCCCATTTTCCCTTTGGTTGTTGGCAGGCTTTTGTTGCTGAATGTTGATGTGAGGCTGTCTAATGAAGGAAGTGGATTGTGTACACAGCATGGGTGTGTCGAGTCACAGTTCAAACACATTAGACTGCCAGCGCACAGTCAATTTCACTGTCCCTCGGAGGAGAAGAAACGTTACTTACTGTAATGTTAGTTATTGAGCAGATGGCCATCAAATATGACCACATTTTCTAAGGGACAGCTAAGGTTGTATTTGCTCTGCCATTCTACTCTAATCTGGACTTTGTAATGCATATTGGAACAGTGTGCTGTCGCTGCAGCAAACATGATGTAACTCTTGTTGGTCACTGATTGGCTCTTCAGGTGGGATAAGCTTTAGTTTCCTGGAGGAGCCTGTGTACTCTGGACTTCACTTGACTGAAAGAATGGTGGACAAGATATGGAGGAAGAGTTGGCAATTTATAGAAAATAGACGGTCTTTTCGCAAGTCCTCTTGTAGTTTGGCAGAATGTAAGAGTGAGTGAGTATCCTCCTTGTTTTTTTCATATTGTTTGGGTAAGAGGTAATCCGACAAGGACAACGGATGACTGGGTATGTTCAATGTTAGGAGATTGTTTACGTGGCCTTTTCATTTATGATTGAAGCACAGGCAGACCTATGGCAGGTTACACATTTTCAAAAGTGATTTTTGCAGAGTTGTGTATCAGCATTAGGCAGGTTACAGCGGAGTGAACTGTGGGTTTTATTGTTATCATAAAGTTGTAGAATCAGCAGTCTTTTACACACACTCTTCAGTTCACTTCTGTGTTTCCATTTGTGTTTATTCCATAACGGAGACTGGAATACTGATTTTAAGACTTTCTTTCATTAAAGGTCCCATGTCATGGCCATTTCTGCTGATCATAATTCCATTGTTGAGGTCTACTAGAATAGATTTACATTGTTCAATTTTCCAAACTCACATTGGTTTCTCATACAGCATCTCTGTATAGTATGTGTATTCACTCTCTGTCCTAAACGCCTTGTTGGAGCTCCTGCCCCCCCCCTCCCTATGAGCCCACTGTGCTCTGATGTGTGATTATGTGTTACAATGGCGTTTGTTAGCAACCAGAAAATGACACCAGCAATGACAAACAGATGAGAATGCTACGTGGGGTCTGGGTGCCATGTTGGCGGGACGTTGCGGGGCTCGCTGCTGCGAAGAGCGGACAGTGTGAGCTGGATTACTGGTGTTGTTTCCTGGCAGCTGCAAGGGGACTGCGAGACACAGCGAAACCCAGCCCGAACCCAGCCCGAGCACACACACACACACCCGCAGCCTCCCCGCGTCCCGCCGGCTGAGAAATCCGCGGCGCTGCAGCTGAGAAAATATTGAGTGTGTGGGTGTGAGGAAGTCCGCGGATTGGTCCAAACGTAACGGCTCCACGCACGTAACGTCACTATACCCAATACGTCACTTTACCCAAGAAGAAAAAGAAAAATCTCCAACGAGGCGTTCTGGGCAGCATAGACAGGTCTTTTCTGTGTTTGAGTTTTACTCGCTACAGGGTGTACTTTGAGGGTTTGTGACTCTGCAGACCGTTTACATGCAGAAAAAGCTACATAACACACAAGGGGACGGGTAATAACCGGAAAACCATGACATGGGACCTTGAGCCATAAATCCTTGAAGTTAAACTACTTTTGTTCTGACATTTTAAAAGATGAATTAGGAAGACGGCTGCACTTAACCTGATAATGCTTCTTAAATTCTAACTCAAAAGATACATTCTAATTATCTTATATTTCTTACAAGAAGTTAAAATCTCGAACCATCTCTTTGCTCTCTTATTGCAGTGTGGAAGGGGATGGACGGCCCAATGAGAGTGGCCCTTCCCTGGATGGTGGAGCCAGCTATGGCCAGGGCCCGGTGACTCACGGCTCAGCCATCAGCCCCGACCGATTTGACAGCCCGCTTTACAGCCACGGTGTCCAGCCTGGCCCTCAAAGACCCCGTCGAGCCAAACTCCAGCACTCGCAGTCCATCATCCGTAAGCAGGCTGAGGAGGAGGCCATCAAGCGTTCCCGCTCGCTCTCCGAGAGCTATGAGCTCTCTGCTGACCTCCAGGATAAACAGGTACTCCAAAGTAGCCTGGCTTAATAGTTTGCTTGGGGATTATTCAAAGGTCCATGACGAATTACTATTCAAGAAGAGATTGTTTTTGGTGGAAATAAAGCAGGAATGCTAATTATCAGTGACCTTCAGGAGGATATTTGTATATGTGGTTAGAAAAGGTAAATGAAATATTCAACAGGTGGCCCAGTTTGACAGCTAATTTACTCTCTTTCTGTAGGTGGAGATGCTGGAGCGTAAATATGGTGGACGATTCATAACTCGGCATGCGGCCCGCACCATCCAGACAGCCTTCCGCCAGTATCAGATGAACAAGAACTTTGAACGTCTCAGGAGCTCTATGTCTGAGAACCGCATGTCCAGACGCATCGTTCTCTCCAACATGAGGATGCAGCTCTCGTTTGAGGGTCCTGAGAAAGTGCACAGCTCCTACTTTGAAGGAAGGCAGGTTTCCATGACGGAGGATGGCGCCCCACTGTCCATGGTGCAGTCTGAACGTGGAGATATAGAGGTACACCAGCAGGCCAACATGGCGCCTCACCCAACCCCACAGGGTGACCTGACAGATGCCATCACGGAGCTGGAGGACGCCTTTTCCCGGCAGGTCAAATCTCTGGCCGAGTCGATTGACGATGCTCTAAACTGTCGCAGCCTTCAGGGCGACGAGGGTCCCGACCCAGAGGCCATGGGCTGCTCTAAGGTGGAGAGGGAAGGGCCCTATCAGGTGAAGTCCCACCGCAGGGCAGCTGGACGAATGCATGATGAAACATTGGCATCCTATAATGATGTCACTCTGTTCATCGATGAGGAGGACATGAATCCTTCTATGGCTCGGTCGAGGTCGGGGGACCAACCCTCCAGCACAGAATCAGACTTGCGGTTGCGGTCAGTCAACTCCTCACAGGAATACTGGCCTATTGACCCCAAAGATGAGGGTCGTGACACAGACACGAGCTGCCGCAGCACTCCTTCTCTAGAGTGCCAAGAGCAGCGCCTCAGAATGGACCATCTTCCTTTGTTGACCATCGAACCTCCTAGTGACAGCTCAGCGGAGATCAGTGACCGGTCTGACCGTGGATCTGTCAAACGGCCGCCTGTGTACGAGCCGCACGGCCACATCGTGACGTCCTCCCAGGCGAGCCCCAAGCATATTTCCCACGGACCCCCGCCACGAGCTTCCTCCCGTGATGAAGACCCACCGCTGCGCCATCGCCACCGTCAGCTGGAAGGACACTTGGCTATAAACGGCTCAGCCAACAGGCAGAGCAAGTCTGAATCCGACTTCTCCGATGGGGATAACGACAGCATCAATAGCACATCCAACTCTAACGACACCATCAACTGCAGCTCCGAGTCGTCGTCGAGAGACAGCCTACGAGAGCAGACGCTCAGCAAGCAGACGTACCACAAAGAGACTCGCAACAGCTGGGACTCGCCCATCTTCAGTAATGATGTTATTCGAAAGAGACACTACCGCATCGGCTTGAATCTCTTCAACAAGTAGGTACTCGGCTCTGATGGAGCGGGCACTTGACCAGGGATTGCAGTGATTAAGGGTGTAGCAAATAGAGATGATGTTAGAAAAGCCTCTTGGAAAATAATTCCCTCTCTGTGTGTTGCACTATAAACTGTAATCATTTGTATTAAATAGATATTTGATATTTGAATGAAAACAATAAATAAGACAATATCTTTTTATTGTAGTATATGAATATAGTGTAACAACATTTCTTTGAGATTCTTTAATATGATATAACTTTGTAGTGAGAATATCAAATGTCTTAAGAATAATAATACAAGGATTTTCTCCAAACTAATATTAGAGCAGAGCAGATGAGCAGACTCTTCACTCAATTTTTTTTTTATCTGCACCTAAATGTATGATATATTATATTGTTATTTATCAGGAAGCCAGAAAAGGGCATCCAGTACTTGACTGAGAGGGGGTTCATCCCCGACACACCGGTTGGTGTGGCTCACTTCCTGCTGCAGAGGAAGGGGCTCAGCAGGCAGATGATTGGAGAATTTCTCGGAAATCGACAGAAACAGTTCAACAGAGATGTTTTGGAGTGAGTATTATGTACATGTGAGAAAAGGAAAATGAACGTGTGTTAGAAGAAGATTTGTGTAAATGTAATGCAGTCCAGGATCCTTTTCCACATGCACACTCAAACAAAACCCTGTCAAATATAAATCATTTGTTGATCGAATGTTGTTTGCCACGTGTATAGTAATATGTCTGCCTTCTGTCCTCTAATGTGCCAGCTGTGTGGTGGATGAAATGGACTTCCAGAGCATGGAGCTGGACGAGGCTCTCAGGAAATTTCAGAACCACATCCGTGTTCAGGGTGAGGCCCAGAAGGTGGAGCGGCTCATCGAAGCCTTCAGGTTAGATCACACACTGACACACAGTGTTCAAACACAGCGGGATCATGTGACAATGAAAAGGCAGGAGATATACCACTGATGTAATACACGGCGTGATCCTAATACTAGAAGTTCTTTTTGAGAAGTCATTGCTGCTGGGTTTCCTCACAGCTGTTGGTACATAAAGAGAACAAGCACTCACATCACTTCTGTTTTCTTCGAGCCGTGGGGAACATATTTCCTCACTATGAGCACAACAGTGTGTATGTTTTGTAATCTCAGTTTGGTTGTATGTCGAGATGAGTTCAAATGTTCTCCTGTCTCGTTTTCTCTAGCCAGCGCTACTGCATCTGTAACCCCACTGTGGTGCGACAGTTCAGGAACCCTGACACCATCTTCATCCTCGCTTTTGCCATCATCCTCCTCAACACTGACATGTACAGCCCCAATGTCAAGCCCGAGAGGAAGATGAAGATGGAGGACTTCATCAAGAATTTAAGAGGTTGTAAAAACCAAGGGTTGATATGATAACACAAAAGTACACTATATACTGATATTTTCAAATATACTTCTTGAACAATACAAGCTTAGACATGGACTAGTTGAGATATTTGCTATCCTTACTTTCCTTATCTGTGTGCCAGGTGTGGATGATGGAGAGGATATCCCCAGGGAGACTCTGGTCGGCATCTATGAGAGGATCCGTAAGCGAGAGCTCAAGACCAACGAAGACCACGTCTCGCAGGTGCAGAAGGTGGAGAAGCTCATAGTGGGAAAGAAACCAGTAAGTACTTCATTATCTACCCAACCAAGTTCAATAAACAATATTATAATTTTCAAGTCATGAAAATATTCTGTGTGGCAACTTTGGCCTCCAAGATGTAGACTATTCTTATATCAGTACTCACTAAGTTGTATCAGCCATAAATGACTTCCAATGAGTAAAAGTCGCATTTTGTCCTTATTTACTGACTCCCAAATGTACAGAGCTAAAGTCATACGAGGAACAAGGAGATTTAGAAAACATGTTGTACCTTTGGGTATTGTTGTGTGAGGCATATGTCTGGGCTTAGACCTTCACGCTCGTGATTTGAACACACAAAGCCCTTGAGAGATGTCACCCAGTGCTGCAGTCTGCAGACAGATGAGCGCTTTCTGCCACCGCAGCACATTATAGTTCGGAGGAGAAGCATTGGGTAATTTGGCAAACATATATTAAAATAATCCATAAAATCATTATTGGGTTTATTTTATGTATGAATATATTCAACCAGAGATATTATCAAATGTAGTTCTGACTGTATTATCAAAATGTAGCAGCATTTCTGCATTATTCTGCGGGCAATGATGTCTCATTCATGCGTGAAGGTCAAACGTGTGATTAACCTCTGCAGCTTCAGGAAGAGGCTTGTCTTGCACAGAGGACTTTGTTGCAGTCAGTTTCCATCGGGGTGAAATCTGTTTTTGCTCTGCCAGTAATAATTGCACACATTGAGAAATGATCCCACGTCACCGTTTAGCTGCTGAATTAAAAGCTCTGGAGGACTCTCTGTAAAACACTTAAACATTTAAACCACATTGGAGTTCCTCTCAATAACAATCAGGTCCACTAGAGTGGGCTGCTCGGGGAGGTTCTGTTTTCATTCCAACAGCATTACAGACTCCCTGGAGCCTGGCAGCAGAGAAAGATCGCCACCCTTTATACACCACCCAAGAGGTGCATCTTCATCACCACTTTAATATGCTATAGGTGCATAGGGCAAGTCCCTATATGGGCTCATTAATAAGCAAGAAAGGTTACAGTTTTAAGGTTATCAGAGGCAACAGTAGGGCTACACGATTTGGGGAAATAATCTAATTGCGATTTTTCTGACAGATATTGCGATTCGATTTGCGATTTAGTTTTCAAGCGACCCAACGGAAGTTTATTGTAAAATGCGGCCATATCTCCGGCTAGGAAGGTCGTATCAACGTGCTCCCGTCTCTAGCACCCCCGCAGCCCGAGCTACGAGTGAAAGAACTAAACTTACATGAAACTTCCGTTGGGTTGCTTTAAAGTCAAGCTTCAGTTTCAGATTCACCCTGTAATAGATGTGAAACATGTGATGGAGCATTACTAACCTGACTCAGATGCTTTGTTTCACCAAACCATCTAGGAAAGCTCCATTTAGGAAGCCATTTGGAAAGGGCAGGCACTTTCAACAATACTTGGCAGGTGATTGGATCAATCTGTCTATCACCTTCTATCATGGGCCACTTCTGATTGGTTAACAATGGCTGGTACATGTGGAGCACAGCACTTCTGATTGGTGTGGATGACTGACACACAAGAAAAAGAAAAGAAAATGTTTTAAAAAATGGCAGGCTTTGCGATTTTTTAATTGCATCATTTAAAATCGCGATTTTGATTTCAAATCGATTAATCGTTCAGCCCTAGGCAACAGTGTTAATAATCCCAACATAACATTTCCTTTGTTTTCTATTTTTAGATTGGATCCCTCCACCACGGCTTGGGATGTGTAAGTAGGCTAAATATCCATAAATCATACGATACTTTATCATTTTTATTTTTTATTTTACTGTGTGTGCACAGTTTCCCCTCTCTGTCCCTGCATATTGCAGTTAATGCTCTTCATACAGGTAGTTTAAGAGTCAGATTACAGAGACTTTTGCCCCCTGCAGCATATCATCTGTCATTGCTGCACCCTAGAGACAGAGTCAACATCATAAATTGTGGGTGGCATTGAGTTGCAGTGTTTACAGATTCTGTGCTCAGCAGTGCACCACGGAATATACTGTTGATCCCCCAATAATATGAAGATTAGTAGTTATCATGATAGTTATGGTATGAGATATCTGCTAATTTTGCACTTGAACCAGTACATACTTTTTTATTACAGCATAGCTATAGAAAATAGATTTTTGTAGACATGTTTTCTTGTATGTAAGGACTCAAGGTTCAGATTTACAGTTACAGGTTACATCAGTGCATAAGCTAATCTATGTAAAAATGAACTTCAACATAGGATCAATTCTTACACTTCATACTATGTAACTAGTGAAATCCACTGGTGAAACAAACCTGATGTGTTTTTAAATGATGACACACAAAACATTGAAATTGTTTTTATTTATTTGGATTTCGATAAGTTAGGACTTAAAAAAACAAACGCTTTTACTGGAATCCATTTTTAAAAGCACAGCATACAGGATAATGATTTCAAGCGAGCTATATTTTGTTTCCTCAGTAATTCCTCACGGTGTCAGCGTAGTAATACATGCCAAAAGGTCCGGACGGCAGAAAATAGACTTGTGAGGAGACGCCATCCTGCTTCAATGCAGACTATTTTTGTATTTGAGGACACCTGATCCTCTTGTATTGCTAACATAATAAATCATACGTAGTAACAGGTTATCCAGCTTGAAACATCACCCCAGTATTCAATGACATGGCAACAGTTTGCCATGATCTTAATATTTGTAAAGGATAGTTTGAAGGATATATATATTTGAGTTTTTGTTATGTTAAATTAATCCAACAAAATGACCAAAGGTGCTGGAGGTGCTCTTAGATTTCACGACAGTATTAAATGTTCTGAGCCCCAGGTTCATTCAGTAAATATATAAATACTTATTTTAATACCTTCAATTTTTTAAGAAAGCTAATACAACGTCCAGTTGATTCATAGTTTTCATAGGAACATGCCCGTTTTATTTGACTATGCATTTGTAGCTTGTGGGTATTGGACTGTTTTTTGGACAAAACAAGTTATGTAAAGACTTAAACTCGATGAATAATGTTCTGATTATTAAATGATGCAGCCTTAAGGAGCAGTATGAAAAATGTGCCTTCTATATGAATGCTGTGAAAAATGCAAACACTACATTGGCTACATTTAATTTAAAGTGGACCTATCATGCTATATTTGAATAATATAGTGTAGGACCATACCTATATAAGGCATATTTATACTTTTTTTTTTTCAAAATACCAAACAGATCATGCATTTTAGCCATGCCTCATTTCGCTCAATTTGAAAAATGTTAGCTCTGTTTTTGCAAGGGCTGATTCTGTGAGAACAGCACCATCTAGAGGCCTGGCATATGTACTACAGCGTCTCCAGCGCTTTCGAACGGCAATGGCCGTGGCTGTCTCCTCCTGATTGGTGGAGTTGGCCCAATAGCCGTAGCGCCACCGTCCTGACGTCAGGACAGTGTTCAAATCTGGATCAGTTTTTATCAGATCCGTTGCAGCCCCTTTTTTAGAGATTTGGGTATGGAGGAAAATAGAGAGGGTTGTGTTTTCTGACACTTGGTGAGTTCCCTGGAACACCGGGGACACATATTCATGTATAAAACACGTACAAAAGTGCATTTTGCATGATAGGTCCCCTTTAAATTCCAGTCAGGGAGAGAGGAGACTTCTGTTCCTTGTTATAGTGTGGACTGAGGGCATAATGACCTCTGAAGTGCTGGTATCTGTGCTCCTTTAGGTGCTGTCACTGCCCCATCGCCGGCTGGTGTGTTACTGCCGCCTGTTTGAAGTGCCAGATCCCAACAAGCTGCAGAAGCTGGGCCTGCATCAGCGGGAGATCTTCCTGTTCAATGACCTCCTAGTGGTATAAGCCCTCTGCTTTCTTCTTCTCTCCTCTTTTATCTTCCCTCCTGTCTCTTTAGAACAGCATTTCAAATATTCTCTTTGCATGATTCCAGGTAACCAAGATTTTCCAGAAAAAGAAGAACTCAGTGACGTACAGCTTCAGACAGTCCTTCTCTCTGTATGGGATGCAAGTGATTCTGTTTGACAATCAGTGTAAGTAGTCATTTACTTTTATTCTGTTTTTATCCGTGTGTCGAGTTAGCCACCAGTGTTTACATCGCAGTTTTGATTCAGCTCGGTAACACTTGCCATAAATGGGAGGTCAAACCAATGGGCTGTGACATTGTTTATGCTTTCCAAACTTCAGACAGATTCGCCCATTGTGTTTTAACTTGCTTTTGATCAATGGCCCACATATAAAAGTCTTTCCCTCTCTCTTCCGTTGCCCCAGATTACCCAAATGGAATCAGACTTACATCAGCGATACCAGGTGCTGACATCAAAGTCCTCATCAACTTTAATGCGCCCAACCCCCAAGACCGCAAGAAGTTCACAGACGACCTACGAGAGTCCATTGCTGAGGTCCAGGAAATGGAGAAATACAGAATAGAGTGTGAGTTGCCTTTTCCCCTCCCATCTCCCCCTCTTACTCTGTCTCGCTCCGGCTGTGTGAAGTAGACACAGGCATGGTCCTCATTACTCAACTACGGCTCTTTATGAGGGAGAATGTTTACAGAGTTCACAGGATGGCTAACAGAAGGGAGAGCTTTTTTTCTACGCATTCAAAAACCAGAAATGATGTAGGGAACAGAGCCTTCTTCATTGCTGCCCCCTCCCTCTGGTACTCGCTACCACAAAATATCAGAAACCGCACTGACCTCCCCACCTTCAAGACACTTTTCAAACTTGTTTTTCATGTGTGATTAATGTTGTGTCCTTGTGCTAAATGTTGTCTTATTAGCTCGATTTTAATTGGACTATTTATCATAGTTATTGATAGTTTTTCACCTCTGTTAAATTCTTTGAGCACCTGATAAAGAGCTTGATAAATAAAGGGTGTTGTAATATTATTAAATCAATAGAGTTTCTGAAAGCAAAGGGTGGATGAATGCATCACAGAGAAGTTATAATTTCCTGGCCAGAGTAAAATGTAAAGCCAGTCCCGCTTACCTCAGTGTTTCCGTGGCTTCTTTCCACAGCCGAGCTGGAGAAGCAGAAAGGAGTGGTGAGGCCCAGCATGTCGCAGAGCTCCGGTCTGAAGAAGGAATCTGGAAACGGGAACATGAACCGTGCCAGTCTGGACGACACCTTCGCCATGGGTGAGGGCCTGAAGAGGAGCGCCCTCAGCAGCTCGCTGCGAGACCTCTCCGACGCAGGTACAGACAAAACATCTTTGTTTTACCAGCCAGTACTTTAGTGAAAGGTACTATCCTTCTCTCACCTCTCTATGGTAAAATCAAGGGGATAAAAAATAGCAAAATGTTGTTTCATGGCACCATATGTTTATTTAAGAGTTATCCCCTTTAAATCACTTTACAATTCATTCATGATTGGATAGTTTGACTTTAGGGGTGCTCCACCTTTTTGACTATTCAAAGATTGAATACAGACCTATTTGAGTGAAAGTACTTGTGTAAAAATGCATTTTGTCTAAGATTTGTCTTCTCAGTGATGAATGAAATTGACGGGCAGTTCTCACCCCTGATCATGTGGACGAGTTTATTTCTGAACATTTCCATTCATGTTTTTTATCGTCACTTTTGTTTAACCTTGCACTTTTACACTAAGTTTGTTTTCTTCAAAGACATCTCATGATAATCTTATGTTGTGTTTGATTCGAACATCATATGCCATTTCCTTTCATGTATATTTGTGAACCAAACAAAGAGCTGGTGTGTACAATTCTTAAACAGCAACGAGATCAACATGTAATTCAAGTCTTGGCGGTAACAGTCATTGCACACCCATGAATTTCAGTGTTTAGCGCAGCCGCTCTGTCTCTGAAGCAAGAATGCATTTCATTCATTACAGATAACAGCTATGTGAAGTTATCGGGTGATTAACTTGATAACAAAATGAAATCCAGTCAGGGGTCTGCCTCACTGTTGGTAATACGAAACGCTTTGTTCTAATGATCACAACCTCAATGTGAGATGATAGGTCAGTGAAGAGATCTGTAGAAGTCCCTCCGGTCTCCTGTGTTTTCAGATGCAGGATGTGGCATGTTAGTGGGGTCATTTTTGTTGAGTGTTTTCTTTTTCCTTTCTTGCCATACTCCCATTCCATGTGTATTTACTGTGTTATTTCCATACACATCAGGTACTTTCCTGTTTATGTGTGATTATTGGTCATGTATCATTGGCTGAGTGTGCCTAACAACGGCAAAAGTGCTCTGTTCGCCCTCAGACCTGTATATGCCTGTACATCCCATGTGCAACAACCACTGTATTGCTTTTGATGTGTCTCCTCCTCCGTGACTGTCACTGACACTGGCTCTAGCCAACCTTCGGCCAACCCTAAGAAAATCTACATCTTGTGACAACATTACCAAACACGTTGTTATATTTGTGAAAAATCTGGAACATTTTGATTTAGAAATAAACCCTGTTCATTTACCAAATAGCCTGCTATCTTAACTTAAACATAAACGTTAAGCTTTTAGACTTGATGAGTCCATATTTGTTGAGATTTATAGAAAAGCTTTTGAAATTTAAAGCAGTTCAAAATGCATTTAAAAAGTTAAAATACTTAAGGCAGCTTTAGTTTTCAGCCTGTTTGAAGATATGCCTTCACTAAATAGCTTGCCACCTGTCACCCCACCACCCTGAACGCGCTCCCCCCTTCCCGCCCATATTTGGACCTTACTCACAGTCACAATCCACTGCACTGCCCCCTTCGGGACGGGTGGGCGGCCTAAACGTCTGTAGTCGATCCAGGAGTGTGTCGATCTCTAATCTGTGGTATTGCATGTCTCGGGCAGGCAAGCGGGGGCGTCGCAGCAGTGCAGGATCACTAGACAGCAATATGGAAGTAAGTTGGAAGCAGCTGGTATCCAAGCTACTCTCTATGTGATGATGTGCACTTTGAAAACACACCATTTATTTTTGGTCTTACACCTTCTTTGCTTCATAGACTCAGTCCATTTGTTTGGATCATTTATTTTTCTTCCTGGGATGCCTTATAACCTGCTTGCCTCAGTTAGTGTGCATGCATGGGTTGCCTGCGTCTGATCCTGCCCCTTTTTTGGAAGCCAGAGATCTCCTGTGTTGGTCATGTTATATGACCAATATTCACCTTATCTTCGAACAAGCATGACTCTACTAATCCCTCCTCTGATCCCTCCCTTTGTCGCCTGTGTCTGTCTTTCATTCAATCCCATCCAAGCGGTTTTCATTTGGTTCTTCTTCCCTGTGGCAGGGTGGTAGCTATATGTGAGACTCTAGGAAACTGTTCATCTCCTGCAGCCCCTCGTAATGGTCAGGTCTTTCTTTTTCCCTTTTTTACAATTTCTTTTAAATTCTGTAAGGTTCAGGGAGGGATGAGGCCTTCATAGCCAGAAGTCTACTGATGGGCTTCACTGGGACTTATAAAGATGTGGATTTCATTCATTCATCTTTCCCTCATTTCATGTGTCCATGAGTTCATGCGTTGGGTTGAAGTCTGGGACCCTGAAAATGTCATTCCGCTTTCAAAGATGCCATGTGGTGTTTCTCTAGTCTTAGATGAAGCATGTGCCAAAGGAAAAGCTTGTTTTTAGGAGAATTCACACCTGGATAGTCAGCAGTGTTGGACCCAGGAAAAGGAGGACAAGTGAAGTCTGCACACAAGAGCTTAGTTCCTCCTGCCTCCTGACTTCTAGTTGAATGCTAACGTGTGGATGCTGGGATTGCCTGTCACATCCTCTGCATGTGGGAACTATTATAACAAGTTGCATGTGTGACTCTGAGAGGGTTTGGCACACTGACTGCAATGACGATGAAATGTTGTCTTTTCTACCCCTGTTAATGACTTTATTTATGCTCCTCGTATTTATCTAATTACTCTTGTTCCAGATTTACTGTTTCAAGCCAGTTAGCTCCTTTACAGCCCAGCTCCTTTGAAAATAGGCTCCCTTCATCTTGAAGCTGAAATATTCCTGCTGCCTACCATGAAAACTTTTTTTGAGTTTCTCATCTGCATGCCCTATAACATTTTGCTACTTGTTTATCTAAAAAAAGAAAACTGTGAAGTCATCCTGCTAGTTCCCTGTAGCTGTAGTTTAGAAGCACTACACGGTGTCTGACGGCCATGCTGTTACCTTTCTTTCCCGCCTGCAGGGCTCCATCATTAGCAGTCCTCACACACGGCGGAGAGCCACCACGCCACACGAGGGCGACCCCCGCGGCCCCCCCTCCATCCCCAACTCCGCATCGACTTCCATCCTCGGGTCGCTATTTGGCAGCAAGCGAGGCAAACCGTCATCGCTGAGCCACGCCCCTTACCCCGCCCCCGGCCAACCCACTCTCATTTCCCACAAGCCCCACCCCACCAACCTGCATCACACAGCACAGACGGCACACACAGTGCAGCTCCACTCTCCCCACTCCCAGTACTGCCAAGTCCCCCAGAACCCCCCGCCGTACAACCACCACCACCACTACCAACCGCCCCCCCCACACGCAGCACCACCAGCACCCGGGATACACCTCACACCAACCCCCCCCTCAACAGCACAGCCACTACAGCCAGCATTCCCATCACGCCTCACACTCCCAGCATGCCCCTCACCACCACAGTCAGCAGGTGGGTTCGGCGCCTGGCGGACCCAAACCTAAACACAGTGGCATCAGCACCGTAGTGTGATGCTCCTAACGCAGAGAGGAGGAGCGAGGAGGGACTTTATGAAGGAGGGACAATTGCTAACACCAAAGGGACTGACAGCAGAACTCTATGGCCTGTCCACTGTGTTTAACCGCTGCTGTGATGGGAACCAATCACACGCAGGCACCTTTTTCACCTCCAGCTCTAAATAATATGCAGGATGGAAATCGGACACACACGTTCCACCAGGGGCCTTTTACAAGTTTGCCTGATCATGGGCTTGGCCCTATCAGGGTTTTTGTGGGGGGGAGATGCTCTTTGTTTTCCACACACACACACACACACACACACACACACACACACACACCGCCCGGCCGTGACGGCTGCAGAGAAAATGCGTTCTCTCACCAAGCCGCTCCCCACTGCTTCATTCCTACAATAACCGGTCTTACCTTCACATAATCAGGAGGAAAGGTGTGGCTGACTGTTTTCTCTGTCACAACGATGGCATCATTTCTTGTGCACAGCCTTTCAGAAGTCAACTTACAACTCTTTGGTTTTCAGATCCTACCATCATATGAATGCAATGTGTCGTTGCCTCGCGTAGAGCTCGTGCGTAGTGAAGATATAATCATTTCACACTAACTTAAATCAAAGGACAGGTAAACTGCTGAGCCGACCGTCTCAGTCATTGTAGTTCTAGTGCTGTATTTACTGTAGATGACAGCTATATGTGTTGTCTCCTAGCTCTCATAAATAAATGTGCCAATTATTAATGCATAATCTATTTAGTCAAGACTTCATGTACAGTATATTGTGCGTAAAGTAATTTGTAAGATTATACTTACAATTATTATTATCTGCAAAAATGAATTTTATCAGTATTATACTGACTCTGGGGTGACAGGATGAAGATCTGAAAGGAGTGAACTCCCGCTCAGTCGACCTATAATCTGAATTTTGCTTTTCAAATGGATCAGACGGAGCCTCTGGAAGGCAGCTGTTGCATATGGGCCTCGAAACACTGAGGTCACAAAGCAGACTTTTCCTGTCAACTCATGAATGATAAACTGGGCTGGTTGGTTAATCTCAGTTTACTACTCATACTGTGGCTGCTTAAACTGTAGATTAGTAGATTGAAAAGACATTTTAAATACCCTCGGGGGCTCAGTTCAAATGTTACAAAAGGACCCGCAGAACGCGTTGAACATGTTAAGTCTGTTGCCTTTAAAATATGTGACAGCTGCTCTCCTGACTCTTAAATTCTAAAACAGAAACACGTTTGAAATCTTCTTTTGCCTTGTTTAGTATATTTTTTTTATTTGCCAACGACGTTTGGTGAGTGAATAAAATCAGTTCCTACATAGTGAAGTATTTTTTTCATCTTTTTCTATCATATGTGCAATATCTTTGTACTGATTTTGTACATTAACAACAAGCAAGGTGTCCCTCCAATTTGTGCGTTTTTTTCCCGTGTTGCGTCATTATTTATTTATATTTGTTTTGACCCCTGTCAGAGTCTTTCTCAGTAAATTAATGTGTGGCTGTCCTCGTGGTCGTATGAGAGGTACAGACTTGGAGTTCAGTGGAATGTCTAGTAAGTGATTCTTGCATGTAATGTTATTAATGTGAGGCTATCCTCTGCACATTGTATAACGAATCAGTGTTACCATAGCAAGTTTAAGTGCAATCATGTTCAGAAAATGCAGACTTGTACTGAGAGTGGAAGTCTGTTATCTTGTTGTCCAGGACGAGATTCAGGTGAAAAAGATATATCTTTTTTCATTTGAGAATATATAAATACTTACTTACACAGTTCACAGTGGAAAGAGGAATGTGTGTATATATTTTAATAAAAGGAATATGCTTCTCTTTGGGCTGAACAGAAATATTTTGCTGGATAAGCACATATGAAAGAACACTTTCATTTTTTTCAGGAATTGCAGTTATGATATACAAAATGCAAACTGAACAAAGGAACTGGGTATATGTAAAGAATAACTTTCTACATTCTACAAATAAGAGTCTATTCTAGTGTGTAAATTAGTGACAGTAAACAGTTTGTCCCAATATTCAGGTTGTAAATGTATTTTAACATTCACAAAGAAAACCATTGCCATAAGTCAGGCTTATTCTCACACATTTCTCCTCATGTGAATTAACAAGGACGTTCAGATGACAAACATATCACATACCAGACATTAATGATCAGTTGAATGTGTCTTTCCATGGATTTTGTATTTTTTTGCTATGATTCTGAAATCTTGGGATGATGTAAAAACCGAGGAACCTGTTTATTTTGGTGTGTGTTGTAGTGCTTCAAATGTCTCCAGTCATTCTTTGTGAGAAAGTACCCCAACAATGCACTGCATGGATCATCATGTGTCCTATTCACTGTGAGCTGATGGGGAAGAAATCAGCCTATACACTTTGGTTTTCATTTATTTTGATTTTCCTGATGTTGACGTGTTCTTGTTGCTCTATGTTAAGCTGGTAGTTATGAAGCTCGGCATGCATTTCATCAGCAAAAAGCCATTGTGTAAATTACAAACAAAAGGAACATTGCACTTCTGTTGCTGAGGGCTTTCATCGTGTACATATGGGATTCTGGTGTGCAAACAGATGAACTGCTTGTATGGATGGTTTATCTTGAATGAAGGGACCAAGATGGGGGTTGAATCAGCTGTACATAGTGTGTATATGATCAGTACTCTATTCTGATATCTGCAGTTAAGATCCGGATGTATACACATCACCTCATAGATGGATTAGGGGGTGATATATGAACATATCGATTGTCTCTGCCTCCAGTGAACAGACATGTGCTGTATAACTCAAAAACAGACTGTTAGGAAGTTTGCTGCCATTTCACATCCAGCTCTCTTTTCATACAAACAACCCCCAACACACACACACACGCGTGTACAAAAAACACACATCCTGCTGCAAGCTGTTCAGTCTGGCGTGAGACACATATAAAAAGAAAAAAGACAAGAATGGCCTCATTTATATGTGCATTCTGTTTGTACAGTGAGTAGTGAGTCAGTAAGACCCCAGTTATTGTAAAACTTCAACTGTGACAATGTTGAGAACGCAAAATAAACGAATATATGACTTATGGTACGCATGTGTTGTTTTTGCTCTCCAGTGTGTATAAAGTAGAAAATGCCTCATCTTATTGAGCTCGGATTCAGCTGTCACTGCGGATTTAAGGGAAATGAAACTCTTTTTCTTCTTTAATGCCTTTTGCAAAGGAGCCTTATCTTTAGGCTCCAGTATCTTCCACTTCCAGGCTCCATCATTACTTTCCATTTCCAAGTGTTGCAGCATTTCCACTAGAGGGCATACATTAAAGTGCTTTAAAATCATGTGGAAATGTGTGCCATTACACCACCTATTGGTGAATCATGTGCTGGCCACACAGTTCCTCATATGGATCAGCCAGTGGAAATAATCTTTCAAACTCGGCTGTGGAAGTGTGACATTATTTTTTGGATAAACCTCCTTTCTGCTTTGCAGCCTAGAATTCCATCATGAAACATTTGCTCTTTGGTGTCAAGTTGGCTTTCAAAATATCTCATAGGTACTTTTAAATTCACATAAAGCTGTACATGCTCCCAGCTGTGTTCTGGAGTATAATGCCCTCTTAGCCCTCATCACTGCAGTGGATGTCAGTAACAAACATTGTGGGGATGAGCTTAAGATAGCCTCCGCCACTAGTTAATAGATACACTCTTATCTCCTCTAAGCAGATGGGGTTCCTTCACAGTGAATGCGGCATAATCGTGCAGTGTTATTGATGCGTTCCTCACACTGACGTCGCTCTGTATCGGCTGTGCAACAAACGGACTAGAACAATGAACAGATAATTATATTTTAAGGATGACTGGCACCGCAGGAGGTAAGTTCCAATTTGGGTGGACTATAAAGGGTGTGTATTTGTTGCATAACTTAAGAAAACAAGGAATGTATCATTCACTTTGTCATTTGCCTGTATCTCTTCATTAAAAGATGTATTTAATTTCACCTAATAGATGGAATCAGTTTTGACATAAACAATAAATCAAGATTCTGAAGAAACGTTATTTTGTTCTAATACACATCTTAATTATCACTTTTTTTATTTAGGATTCTCCAATATAACAACTGGCTTAGTGCTGCACTCTAGCAATCCTCCCTGCTCCTATTATTATCTCAACTGGAAATGACAGTGAAAGTATTGGAATAATCTTTCCCTTTCCAACAGGATGCTCTGCAGTTTAATCTTAGCTGTCTTCCTGGTCTGGGCCACATCAAGCGCACACACCACTGGTCGGCCCTGCCAGTGTTCAGCTCTCCTTCCTGAGGGTCTGCGGGTCAACTGCAGCTCTTTAGACCTGGTGGAGCTGCCCACTCTGCCCTCAGACACCACAGAGCTCCATGTTCAGGACAACCGGCTCACCTCAGTGTCTCCCGGCCATTTTGACAGACTGGTTGCTCTGAAAAAGGTCTCACTTTCAGGAAACCCCTTCCACTGCGACTGTAGGATCCAATACCTGAGGAGCTGGTTGCTGAGGAACAGGGCCGTTGTCTTAAAGGAGCCGATATGTGCCGGCCCAGACTCTGTGGCTCAGAAAGCCGTCACTGAACTCAGCGATGAATACTTCTCCTCCTGTGTGCTGCTGGCAGTCTGTACTGATAGTACTTATAACACTGTGATAGGAGTGATGCTATGCTTCCTCATTCTTCTGCTTCTGTGGAGCTTGAGACTAGCAAAAACATCCAGCTTCACACTGTACATATGTGAGAGACATTTAGGATTGGAGGCTGACTCTTTGCGCTCACTGAGGCCTAAACACAGGAGGAGGCTACACACTGCACCGCTAGAGGTCACTGTGGATTCTCTCATTTGTGCGGGGGAACTAGAAAAACCACTCAACATGGAGTTACTGCCACAAGTACTGGATGTGTTGCACAAGAAGCACTCTAGAAAGATAAAGGCTACCTGAGGGACCTACTATAATGGAATTACTGAAACACTAGAGGAGAATAGAGTTGACGGAAGCACAACGACTGTCTTTGTTTGTTGCAATAAAGTTGTTTTAATGCTGAACGGCCACAGCCATTTCACCTGAGACTTCTTCTGTAACTGATTTTTATTTCTGTAACCTAAATCTAGTTTACTTATAAAAGCAGGCAAGGCTAAAAATAAAAACATGATGACTTACCCATTTGAAAAAGTGTCTTTGGTACACTGCAAGTCATTACATGCTATTTTTTTTTAGCATTTGATAACAGAAATAAGCAAACATTAGACACTACATTTGAGATATAAGAGTAATGAGGACTATTTTGCCCTCTGAAAGTATTATACTCATCAGTCTATGCATGTTATATTTGCTTTACAACTGATCTCACTACATGACTCAATACTGAGCTAGCTGAGCATGTATGACAGTGTATATCTTGTAGAAAAAAACAACACTGTGCTGACTGAGAATGATCATTGTCTTGATTACTTGTGATAGGTTGTTGGTCGTTTTTGATTGGAAAGAATCAGAGACAGTATGTATAACATGTGTAACTATTCCATGTATTTTCTTACAAAAAGGTATTTACAATGAGTGCAAAAACTGTAAATGATCAGATATGGAGCGGTACAGTTGTTGATTCATATTGGAATTTAATCTTAATACATTTCCAGGTAGCTTTTGTTTCTGGAAATAGAATATTCGACATTATAATAAACAGGTTATGGCAGGAAGGTATGGTAACAGTCAACAAAGATGATGTGTGCAAATACTGGTCTCACAACTAGACAAAATGCAGACAGACATTTCTATTAGAGGACAATACTGCAAATCAAACAGTACAGTACAGTACATGTATTCATCTCATATACATGCATAGATTTTCCAAGATAAATGGGTAAATAAATGTCTTAAAATGGAATAATAAAAATGCACCTTCAGAATAAAGGTAAACCGTTATCTGAATATGCTTCTTAAAAACACTGTTAAATTCTTGTAATAAATATAGGATGATTTCCGGAAGGATTTTTCAATTATCTACAACGTAACTATCATCTAAAAAAATACTTCGTAGGGTCAAATAAGGCAGTTCCTTAAATTGTTCCTTAATCCAAACAAGTAATTTAAGTCAAAAACAATATAAAAAAGCAGTTGACAGTAACACTTACATTATGAACTTGTCTAAAGTTGTTCTTAATGTTGACAGTTAAGAAGAGGACCCATATTTTGTCAATGCCCTGTTGATATGTCCACAGTGTTAGGCTCCTACAGGTTTATATGTTATGTCATATAACCCAGTTTACTGATAGGACCTCGACTCTACTGAGGCACAAACTTCTCCAGATCAAAGATGCGTTCAACAGCGTCCGCCACATCATGCACGATCCAGTCTGGCTCCACCAGCGCGGGGTCGAACCTGAAGTCCCGGTGCCCGTGGAACACAGTCTCTTTGATGCAGTGGCTGGCATCAGGCGGGACCTCTTCGTTGGGGTTGTAGACCCCCGTGCAGACCAGGACAGACTTACAGGAAGTGGCAGAGGGCAACGCCAGCTCGCTCTCCCAATGATTGTGGCTCTCCTCCACCTGGGGCAGAGCGGTGGTGGACCCTGTTGCGGAGACCATCTTAGCAACGGCTTTAGCGTTCTTCCTAGCAACTCTCTCGTCCAGGTAGCGGTTGTATAGGTTGGCGCCATAGATGTCAGTCATTAGGTTATCCCTAAGAGGGCAGGGAGGGAAGAGATCAGGAAATAGCCAGAATACTGATACATTCAAGAAGTTTCTCTGCTGCTCCACCAACAAAAACAACGCTGTAACAACAAAACAGGAACATTCGTGACAAAAAGTTGAAGTGAAAATTGCAAGCTCTGAAAGAAAGGTGTGATATGTTGAGTTAACTATAATGCTTGTGGGCAGTTGAAAGAGAAGAGTTGTGGTAATTAAGCAACTCCTCAGCTTTTTAGTTTGTTAAAATTGCAAACTTAAGTTATAAAGGGACCACAAACCCTTTCAATAACTGGTAATCTAAGTCAGGTGACAGGTTTTAGTATCCGTGTTACTACTTTCTGCCTTCTGTCATTACTTAGATGTACATTTGTGTTCAGACTGTGAAAATGTGTGGTTGCTTTCTTAGTATATTTCATATGCTTTAACTAAATGTGCATTACAGACAAAAACATGGTGTCTTACCCTATAGCATAAAGTGAAGTGACGGGGAGTTTCCATTGCCTCTCCATGGCCTGGCTTCTGATGAGGTACTCTGCAAAGTGGTATGTCAACTCACTGGGTTTTCCCATGAGCGCCTCGTACTTCAGGTCTTTGCCGGTTATCTTCTTATAAATGTTCTCCAGGCACACAAGAAATGTCCCATGGCCAAACCTGAGTGAAATGGGATCATGGGAAGCAGAGGGGTATATTTACATTTGGAATCTTTAAAGACTGTGTTTTCCTTGTCAATGTTATTATATTAAATATTTGTATTTTTGTGACAGCACTGGTTACCGGGGAGAATGTGCCTCAGCCATCCACATGAGGTCCATGTTGCAGGCCAGCAGGGGGAGGTGAGGCATCTGTTGGGATTGGTGAACATTGCTGAGGTTACCTTTGGTCAATAAAATGTCAATTATCAGCTGCAGGTGTGTCTCCCATCGAATCGGCTCCCCAAACAGAATCACAGCTGGAAAAAAAGACAAACATTAGATCCCTTTGATATAAATGATAATTAAAATACAGGCTGAGAGCTAATAAGTGGTACATGTCCTCACCTTCAACCATGGGAAGGTTGACAACAGGATTGGACTGTAATGAAAGAAGAGAAGCTTAACATGTGCTGCTGTTTATGACTAAATAGGCGTGTAATATGACTACTATTATCATCTATTTCTGCAAAATATTTCAATATCTTACCGGCAGTTTGGGTCTCCTGTTGTGATCCACCATGTCCATCAATGGGAATGATTCCCTCAGCATATCAACACTGACAACATTATTAAAGCCCAGACTAAAGACAGAGTTAAGGACAATGACGAGTAATATGCTAGCCTTATTAGTCAATGAATAGTAAGCAAAAAAACACAAAGCACAATTCCAGGATACTTTTTTGCAATTTCCAGGACCGGCCCCTGTCCCGACACCAGCACACACTTGTCATGAAACTTTGTAAACATCCTCAAGGGACTGTGAGACACGACGACCTGATCTTGGGTAATCTGGGAATAGAGTAGGTGTGAGAAGAGGTTAATAGTAGAAGTGATAGGGGACAACCAGAATTTAGTTTTGGAGTATTTATTCTAGACAGAACAAACATGTAGCTAAAGCAATATCTCTCAACACTTAGATAACTCACAGCTACTCCCAGGATGTGAGATAGCTGGTCTGCTTTTGTTTGTCGCAGGCAGTTCCCTGCATTTGTGACAAAGACAACTGGCACCACAAATTTTCCCTGAGAGTCGACTAACTTCTCGAATGCCTTTTTTGCAGCAGGGATTGGCATCCTTCCCCGAACCAGCACGCCATCTATGTCAAACAACAGCCCAAATCTTGGCTGTGGCTGAAGAAAGAAAGAACAGCAACATATTTTTCAGCCAAACAGCAAGCAATGAATCCAACAAGTGCAGCCTTTATTTATTTTACACATAGGAATAGCAACAAAATGAGGATAAAGAACAGAATTGGGATGAAATTATTCATTACATTTGTAATATATATAGGCCTACTATCATGTGGCTAAAAATGGCAAATAAACAATTTATAACCCTGTACAAGAAGTAAAATGCTCTTTTTCTACATAAATGTGAAATGATTTGAATGTACTTTTGATAATGTCTTTCGGTATTGTTCTACATAGTGTAATTTTACTATTAGGGACTGATTTTAGTATGACATAACATGGGACCTTATCTTGCGAGGGGCAATCCTATGGTGACAGAGCGCTACATATGGGGGGGGGGGGGGTTACAACTTTAGCATGTAACAAATAATCTGAAAATGATCTAGTTATATATGTAAACAAATGTTTTCCTCAATGTGTTTGCGTTCACTGGGGCTGAAAAAAAACGAACTGTGAACACCGTGGTGTATCTGAGCTTGTTTTTTCCTCATGGGGGAAACAAACACTAAGCTACATCTGTTGTTATCCCTGCAGAGACCCTGTTGTACCATCGCGTCCACATCAGAGTGCCATGCAACGACGATTTGATCAACAAAAACTGAAACGAATACAAAGTAAATCGCTTTTTCAACAACGCATTGTTTAGCCTAAGTCGCAGCAACAGCTCGAACCGTACCTTGCTGTTTGACTGAGTTCCGCAAAACCCGCACCGAGAACCGACAATCCCAGCTTTGCGTCTGGCTTGACGGTTACTCGGAGAGCACAGGCCCCGGTAAAACGACAGGAGTCCCCTCATCTCCTTTGTTTAGCACCGGGTTTTAAAAGAGAAACTGTATGTAATTGAAAAACGACCCGACATGAAGGATAAGAGCCGGCTGGCTGCTCGGCTTGTTTCCGTCCTCGGAGGTTTTCTCGCCTATGATTTGACTCGGCGAGACCCGATGACGTCATATGAGGAGGGTCTTTTTCCTGCATCTCTGGCGGAAGGAGATGTGGAGCTGCCTTCTGCTGCATCTGAAACACTGCAACCCCCGCTGCCATTTTAGACATCGAGGTGGAGTTTTCGGATTCTTCCAACCACAAGCACGTCGATGAATAACAGGAGACGGCTGCAGAAACACGAGCTCATTTATCCGAATGGTCCATATTCGGTTTTATGAATATATATGTAATGGTCATTCTTTGTTCGCACACCACGAAGACAACCGAAGCTAAAGATCTTATTCTCCATTTCATTCGGCTTCACTTTTACAGCACATAACCGTAACGACTTGCGCAAAGTCACGTGCCGCTGTCTCCCAATAAAAGTGTCTCAGGGCGGCTACATTTGCTGCAGAGAACCTCGAGGAATTTGCCTGTGAAATCTGACGCGCGTTGTGAAGACATCCCTGCACCCCTTTTCCATTTTTACTCAACAGGCTCTGTAAATGGAACACATGTAATGGATGCAGAGAAAATAGGAAAAAAAATGTGGCCGGAAATGTGAGCTCTAATTCTGCAGATGGCTTGCCAATTAGGTGCAGTGCCAACATGCTTGAGGACTAAATAAATGATTATCTTTTGTGTTGGTAACTTCCACATATGATTATGCTTTTAAATAGAAGATTTAGCATTTCGTTTTTTTTTTTTTTTTTTAAAGACACGCATTGTTTTTGTAGAATGCATGAGAGATAAGTAAGCAAATATTGATTTAAAAATGTAGACATTTTAAAAACATAATAAAATCTGTTAATGCAAGACATTTGAAATCAAGTAGTCAGACAAGACCTCCCCGTGCTCCTCCAGCTTTATTGATAGTTTAAAATTACATTTCTATTTTCTAGGACTTCAGTTGCACTTTCCTTCCGACTTAAAAACTGAGTACAAGCAAATGGTATTTATACAGTAGTCTAAGTGATATTGTACAAAAATAACATTTTGATTTCTGTGAAAACATTTTTTCATTCCCAAATAACTCCTAATTCTGCTGTTCTTACAACTGTTCATGTTGTTAAATTTTGCCAAGGTAAAAAAAAAAAAATTCCAAAGCCATTTTTAAAGGAAAAGTCTACCTTGGACTACCAAGTGATATTGAAATTGTAAACAGATTTTCTATAAAAGAACGCGTTTCTTTTAATACCTCCAAAATGTTTATATCGTAGCAATATAACATGTAGTTTGTTAACGCCCGCTTAGCTGCTTGTAGGGCTGAAATGCATCATGTTATGAACAGTTTCCATGTCATTACCCTCTTGGCCAACTCAAATCCCACTAAAACAAACCAAAATAACCTTACATGGAAGTTCAGTTTCCATTTACTCCCTTCTTCTATCTCATATTACTGAGGCTTACTTTCACAAGCTCAAAGGTCCTATAGATTCTCATACGTTTAGTCCCATTTATTCATCTCTGATAACCAGTGGCTTGGAAAGGGGGTTCTTTAACAAAGCATTATACATAACACCGCTACCGAACTAAAACATTTTTGTATTGAATGCAGAAAGATTTTTTTTCACCCCTTTCATTGTATTACATGTCGAGAGGCTCACTGGCCTGGGACTAGCCTCTGTTAGCCAAGCTTTGGCCAGTGAAGAGGATTCAGAGAAAATAATACAACCAACCATCAATCTGAAAAAAGGAGGGGCAACAGAGGGCACTGATTATGCGCAGTTTTCTTCGGGGCAATCTTTTGCCAGGTGGCCCGCCTTTCCGCAGTTGTAGCAGTTAGTCTCACTGGCTTTACTGCAATGCACAGCAACGTGGCCAATGTCGCCACACCTAGAAGTGACACAAATCGTTAGCTTATTCAATTAGGACAACTTCTAATTAAGAGTAAACTTAAGTAACTAAAGAAGTCTGGTCTTAACTCACCTGTAACATTTCACCTTATCACAAAGTTTCTGGATGTGACCAAACCCACCGCAGGAATAGCACTTCTGGTCGTTGGCATGCTCACAGTCACGGGCCATGTGGCCTGGTTTGTTGCAGTTGTAGCACAGCTGCTCCCTCTCCTTTTTGGGCTCCTTGCAATCCCGGGAAATGTGGCCACTCCTGTGGCAGTTGTAGCACGCTGAAAATGGGGGGGGGGGGGGGGGGGGGAATAGTTTATTTACAAATCCATTACCGTTTCAAGAAAAGTGTTGTCCTATATAAAAAGGTTAATTGTATGGATACTTTACTGTTGTGTGAAGCGTGGTAATCAAAATTGTTATAACTTCGGTGACTGTGGTGTAAGAGAACACCACTTCAAACCAACTAACTAGAACTGAAATGGAAGAATTTAGAACTGCAATGCACACCATCCTCAGTTTGGTCACAGTCCCTGGCCATGTGTCCTTGGTCTCCACACCGATAACAGAACATCTCTGTAATGAAAGACAGTTTGGTATACAAAGATGAAAAAAAAGACAATGTTTACATTTTTTGCTTGAACTCCCCAAAGGGTTGTCCACAAATGAGTGTTTCATTGGGAATGCTGTACAAAAACCATAACCCCACAAAACAGCCGTAGGTGAATAACATGTCTTTAGTGCAAAATAATATGGGTTAGAGTGATAATGATCCTATACTAGGTGTGGCCTAGATAGTAGATAGTACCCTTGCCTCGTCCTCGACCCCTGCCGCCGCTGCCGCCACGTCCACGTGTGCCACCTCCGCCGCCACGACCACCTTCGACACCTCCGCCGCCACCACCACCACCACCGCCGCCGCCGCCACCACCACCACCACCACCACTTTGACCAGTGGGGCAATGCTTGGCCCAGTGCCCGGAACGGCCACACTGGTAGCAATCGTTGCTGTTGCTCATGTCCATTACCTAAACAAAAACATGACATTAGTGATCCAAATTCAGTGTGAAAATACATTATTTACAAGCACCTTTGAATTCACACAAGCACCTTTGAATTCACACAGTCTACACTGAGCACGCTAACACTATTGCACATGAAATATTAGCTTTTGACAGGAAATAATTGGTAGGATATATAAGGCGGATATGAATGCATTTTTGCCTAAAGGAAGCTTAGAAGATGACCCCTCATTTTAAAATGAAGCTGATTAGTATGCTGTTGATCCCCGAAACCATTACCTGGCACATTACTCTAGTCATTAGTGGCAAAATCTGTTTCAACTACTTACAAACAGATGTACTAAAACATGTGCTGGAGCTCTACTTCAGATATTTAGCTATGTCATATGTGGCTTGGAAACCTGTTTGTCAATACATATATTACAACTATTAAAAGCTATAGAAAACTGTACTTTGACAGCTGCTGCTGATTATATGGGGGGGGGGGGGGGTTAAAGGGGCAGCTAGTATAGACATCGTGTCATGTCGTCAAGAATGCCCTTATTCACACATGTGAAAAAACCATGCTGGTGCAGGTTTATAAGCGTCTAATTTGTTTGCAAATAAGTATCTGATGTTTATCATTTTACAAATAGTTTCAGAGTACAATGATTTTTGACATACATTTTGTTCCGAAGTCACATGATACTACACAACTTACACACAAGGTCTGCAGGAGTCAGACTACCATAATGACTAACAGAGGGATCTAATCTATGATGATACAAAAGGGGGTAAAGTACATTATTCAGCTGGTGTCTATCATAATTGGCCGTCAGACTACAACCAAGTTAACTACTAAGCTAACTTACATGATTTTCCCAATGGAATTATGTTGTGATCGCCATAGGCCAAACTTCTGTTTGCTGACGGTGCTAAAGACATGAAGTCGGGAAGAATGTGAGTTAATGAGTAATCAAGCTAATCCTAATGAGTATCCAAAATATGGTTTTGTTTGAAAAAAAAAAAGTGGTCGATGGCATTTAAATCACCTTTGAATAAGATTGCAAAGGTGAACTTGTTGCTTTAATTTTGTATAATGGTCACCCATATGCCCCAAGGGCCTTAACTCGTGTCTTACATAATACTAATTCACTAAATAGTTAATGAAATATGGTTTTCCTGTAGCACCATAAAGGCTCGTTTCATTCGTAATAAATAGTTTTTTTAGTTAAGATTATTTTCGATGTATTGTAACACGGTTTTACACGCCAGACTACTAACGTTACAGAAATGGCCATGAAAGCATGTCGTGGGTTGCGTGCTAAATTGGAATGCTAGCACCAGAGGGCAGTCCCATCCCATCGTGTTGTGATGAGCATCTGCTAAATTAGCTAACTCGAAGGCTAATTCTGCATAAAAAATAACTTTTAAGACTGTATTGACCGTATTTTTCATGAAACTGAACGTGATTCCTGGCTGAAACTGAATCAAATGCCAAAGGTTGAAGCTACGCTAACGCTGGCCTAGTCACGTTGACTTTTCTGCGTAACGTTACTCGCGAGACAGTGGTGCGGCTGCTGGTTAGCACATGTTAGCACAGACCACCTCACGACCACGAAGCACGGTTCAGTCGACGACCAAGCTTATTTGTACAGTAAGAAAGACGTGGGTCGACCCCTATTGCAAAATAGATTTGCCGTATATTGTTTCCGATGGATATTAAAGTAAATACATCATAAAAACTAAATTTCCCGCGCCGGGCGCACACACCAAAGTCGTTGTTAGGAGCTAACGTTAGCAGGCCGGAGCGAGAACCCGATGCACCGTTATTCAAACCAAACAAAACCCGTGCGTTTTTACAAAAGAAACCAGACTAAACGTCCGATTTCTCTGCAATTCTTCATTTTAACACGGTGTCGTTTTAAATATCTACACGAATATCATTTACGTTGATTAAATCATTTGTAGTGCTGTTTTATTGCTTACCTCGCTGGCTACCTTAGCTCTGTCAGTGTTTACGCCTCCTTCTTTGCGCTACATGCGGTGCGAACAGGAGTTCCTGAATTGTCATTCACAGTATCCAGTAGAAACCTGCACTCTCATTGGTCACATACTCTGAAAGCAACCAATCAAACACGAGGAAGTCTGGACACCGCCTCTATGAATCAGCCAATCGCGGATACAGAATGGTCCCCTTTCCCTAAACTGACTGGTCTTGTTTTTCCAACTTCTTAAAACATTGAGGAATGTTAAAGCCTTATTATAAGCAATATACTTATAGTAACACTGGCACTACTACTTCTACAAAAACAACTACTACTAATCATTTACATAATAATATTAATAATATAATCATTCATAATAGTTTCAGAAAATATGAAAAGTTAAGTAATTCATTAAATGACAGTACCTGGACATGTCTCAAAAGAAGCTTTTTTTTTTTTAAATACAGAATTAGTGCAATAACCAGTGTATCTGATTCTAAATAAATACTACCACTGTTATTTGTGTTAATAATAAAGGAAATAATAAGATGTCTATGAAAAACATTCTTTGATTTCTTCACTTCTCCCAAAGTTTAATTAATTGAAAAAAAACAGAATGAAATCGAAGTAGATCTTAAACAATATTGTATACCAAACAGCTTATTTGTGTCTCAAACAAGAAGGGTCTATATCAGAGTTACTAAATGAAAGTCCAAGGAGTCCCGATTGCATCATATTTTGAATACAAGTGAGCTGATAGAGATAACAATCCATGGGAGCAGCAAGCATCTCAGCTAACTGGCCTGAGTGCTCAGTCAGATCAATAAGTGGGAAAGATGCATTCAGCAGTCTTAAGGTGGCTTTCACTGTAAAGCTTTGTCATAGCAATTATTATTTTCTGTGGTCTTTATTCTGCAGCTCACAACATTAAACACAAAGCAGGGGAAATACCACATCCTTTGCGGCATCATTTTAAATTTAATAGGAGATGTTGTACCATAATATCCAGCAATGACTGAAATACAGTAATACTGTTGCATGTGGGGTGGAGTACCTTAACACGCTCAATGACAAAGCCCTGCCCTCATCTTCACTGAAACAGTGTTTGGCATTTCTGTTATTTGTCAGATGGAACATCTGTTAGAAAATTGAATTTTTTAGAAAAGTAGAGTACATTGTAAAGTAAGGAGGATACAATTTAACATAGGTTTGTGATTTGGATTTCTGGAGTCTGCTGCTGCTTTATGGAAACAATGTATGCTGAAACCTAAGACATATTTACCAGGATGTTGATAAGGCTGTTTTATTCTCAGATGTCAACTCCATCTGGCTGAAAGGACCTATGATCCATCTGTAATCCGGGTACCTCAGGGGACCCACACCGGGATGCTACGGAGATGATGAACACATGGTGAGTGTAAAGGGTACGGTTTAAAAATGTTAGTGTTTCTGGGTTTGGTATGTCATTGGCTAACAAAAACTGTAGTTTAAAGTCTGTTTTAATGTATTAAGCCATTCATATCCAACAAATTAAAGAATGATGAACCTTTATCAATTTAAAAAATATGTATTCACCTTTAAAACTAGGTTGAATACTTTTCTATGGCCTACATGCCATACTTCAAATGAACTCTTTATTGTCTTTTTGACCAGATATGTAAAATGTAGCATGACTGTCATGAATTTCAGGAAGGCTCCAAAGAAATCCAAGGAAACGCTGCACTGTCCCTTTGTATCCAGATGGTGGTGCACTTGAAGTTAATCATGGATTACTCCCTTACTCCAAACCGGTAGTGGTTAGATTTTTTGCTTTTCAAAAGATACTGTTGCAACTTATATTTCAACAAAAGTACACGAAAAACTATATTATTGTTTCACATGCATTAGCCTTTGCAAAAAAAAACACAACAACAACAACAACAACAAAAAGACAGCAGGAGCTCATTTCCAACGTAGTGGCTACCCAATATGACTTTAACTATAGTATATTATGTATAGTATGACCTTGTATAAAGACCCTAATACTATAAAAATATGCAGTTTATTTTTAATAACCAAATGTGCGGTTTGAACAAAGTGGGAGGGATTAAATTGTGCTATAGTTGCGCAGTGTGAGTGATGCTTGCAACTCTTGTTATGACTGCAAGGTCCTGTTTCAATCACTGGCGTCAGACGGACGCACGACACCAACTCAAACCTTTTCACCTTCTCCTGAACAACGTAAATATTGATTGAAAAGCAAGGACGTGCCGAGCAACTAATGGGAGTTTTAATTTGAAAGTGCTTCACGGGACTTTAACAGTATCCCTCGTCGTGTCACTTTGAGGGTCCGACGGATTTTTTCGCTTTTACCACGACTGGGATATAAAACTTTTCCTCTTATTATATTTTGTGGCTCGTAAAATCGACCAGCCTATGACCTTCACGTCCAACAATATTGCAACATTTACCGGATACAAGGTTATTAGATACAACTTTACGGTTTTAAGAAGTTCGACTTTTTCCCTTTTCTTTGAATGCGTTGCAAATATGATGATGTCACCGACGCCACTTTTTCCTGAAGTTATGGCGGAGCACAACTTTTCTAACTTCTCTTGGTAAGCACACACAGGCTACTGGCTCTTAGCATGGCTACTCTTTTTAATTGGGTTTGAAATGTTAACTACAACTGTAAAACTGCTTCTCCTTAGGACACATGACCACGACATGCATCGCTTGAACAAGTGAAATTTGAATGGAGGGTGAATGTGCAGTGAAGTTTAACGATAGAGTTCGCCGCTGAGGGCCTTCAGGCAATTTCACAGCAATAACTGGATCTACCAGGCCTTATAAAAACACACGTAGCTACTAATAGCTTCTGTGGTTGTGTAGCCTAAATCATGCACGCCTTTCAGTGGTAGGCGTAGTTTACTACTATGTTTAGTAAGTTTGGATTTATTGGAACTCAATTGAAGCCGTTCAAAAGTCACTTTAGCGAGCCTCTCTACACAACTCTCCTGAAATCAGAGGTGGAAGAAGTACTCAGATATTGTACTTCAGTAAAAGTAGAATTACCACAGTGTAGGAAAACTCTGTTACAAGTAAAAGTCCTACATTCAAAATGTTACTCAAGTAAAAGTACAAAAGTGTTAGCATCAAAATGTACCAGAAGTAAAAGTACTCATTATGCAGATTGGCCTTTTCCAGATTGATATATAACATGTTTTGGTTATAATTATTAATGCATTGAAGTGTTTATCAAAGCTGGTAAGGGTGAAGTTTACTTTTTATACTGTAGGGTAGCTTGTGAATTTACTCCATGTGTAACCAAAGTCATTTTTAATGGTTGTTTATATTTCACATCATTAATCAAAGTAACTACATTTATTAAATAGATGTAGTGGAGTAAAAGTACACTATTTACCTCTGATCTGTAGTGGGGCAGATACAAAGTAGCAACAAAAAAGTAATACTCAGGTAAAGTGCAAGTCTCTCAAAAGTGTCTTAACTCCAGTACTTGAGTACATTAGTTACTTTGCACCACTGCCCAAGATGCGCTGACATTGATCTTACCTATGACTTGAAAGACTTAAGCGAAGTCATAGAAACTCTGCTGTGGATGCAACCATTGTGCTGGTTTTTTATAGCTGACTGTGCTATGTAGACTGACCTGTTATGTAGAACAGATCTAAGCAGAGAGGAGTAAAGTCTGGACTTCACATTTACTGTTGATACACATTTTTATGGATGGATCACAGTGCTTGCTTTGAACACGATTCCTGTATCATGTTAGGAAGAGTGGAAGATTTACAGTCTTCCAAGTTCTTGATTTTCTGACACACTGGTATGTCTGCTGTGACAGGTAACCACTAACTGCAGTAAATCATCTCTTCAGTGTTAACTGTTAGGAGTTTTGCTGAGTAAAAGTATACACAATTAAAGTGAAGACCAAGAATCAGTGACACTTCTGGATATACAAGTTGAACTAACTCTTTGTATTGAAATCAAAGTGAAAGAGGGATCACATTTGTTTGAGGATGGGTAGGTCCAACTTAATTAGTTTTTTTCTTCAAGTCACTGAGTAGTTGACAAAGAACAAATTGGTTTGGAAGAAGCACATATTTCTTTGTTTAGTTAACCAGTTTTTTTTAAAGTTATTCCTTCCCTTTATCTTTTTGTATAATAGTCCTAATGTGTGAAACTTGTGATCCTTTACTGTATGATGATCCAAACTATTAAGTTTTCTTTTGCTGCCTGACCATGCAGAAAGAAAGAGTCTGTTGAAAGCATATACTGTAAATAACACGACTGACCTCTGTGGTGGCCTGAGATTCTCCTGGTCTGAGTGGATTAGTTTGTCTACATAGCTCTGCTGCTACACCTACAATGAAAGGGAAAGGACAATTGCCAGTTTAATCCTAAAAAAGCACATGTGGTATTCCTTAAACTACTACTATAGTGTGATATAGTGTAGGGTTCAGAGTTTAATAAGCACATTGGACCACTAAACTGGTCCGACTGACACATTCGCTTTACTTTTCTCTCACGTTTCTGATAGGGTTTGCTACTAAGCTACAGATATAACCCAGTAAAACGCTTTAATTGCATTGTCCTATGAGAGGTTTGATTGCATTCTGAGAGATAAGGTTATGAGATTAGATCAAACAAGTTCTCGATACATTAACACATCTTTGTTCTGTCACATTTTTCTGTCTGTGATACCACAGCTGCTTTTTCAGTGGTAAAAAAAATGCCACAATTGAAGCTACATAGCGTGTTTGATATTCTAGAGATAGATTTAGGTTGAGACTATGCATTTAAACACTTGTACATCCTCAGAAAGATTGTCTGGCAAATTTAACTTAAATACTTTTGTTCATGGTGGAAAATCATTTACCCTCTATTTAAATCTGCAGACTACTCTTTTACACTTCAACACTGAGTCTGCACACCACCAATATCCTCCCAAAGAAGTAAGAGAACTAATGTAATATTGATTAGACTTTGCTTTGCTTTGAAGCCCTTACACTGCTTATACTGTATGTGGTTTTCTTTTTTTTCAGACCATTGAGTGCACTTGGCTTTACTAATGGAGCACCTTCAAGGAGCGTGGAAGACCCTGAGCAACGGCTTCGGGATGAAGGACTCGGCGTTTGAGGGCCCGTGCCTTTCCCCCACCATGGTCCAGGGCTTTCCCTACCAGCGCCGCTCCTCGGACGACAGCAAGATCCCAGACTCCAAGACTAGCAGCACTATCCGTGTCTACCTCCCGAACCAGCAGCGCACCGTGGTGAGTCGCTTTTTCCCACTGGAAGAAGATGGCATACAAGGCTGATGAAATACTGATGTACAGTTACTTACAAGAATATGGAAGAGTTAACCTTTTTTCCGCCCTCAGGTAAACGTGCGACCAGGTATGACTTTGTACAATTGCCTGATTAAAGCACTAAAGGTGCGAGGTCTGCAGCCTCAGTGCTGCGCTGTCTTCAGGCTGCAGCCAGGAGAGAGGAGGTGAGCTCAGGACTGTTTGAAACATCAGAGATTGAACTAAACACATTATTTCTTGCTACTGTTATTTTTGCTTGCTTTGATATCCCCTCATCCCCCTAAAGCTTTTCGTTGTTTTGTTTAAAAGTAAAAAATTACGAATGGATTGGCACACCGATTCCTCCTCCCTGATTGGAGAAGAGCTACAGGTGGAGGTTTTAGATCATGTTCCATTGACAACACATAATTTTGTGAGTATCTGAAGTATTTTCATCAAGCTTACACTTAATTCAGTTCAGAGTATCACTGCTGAAGTAATACATGTGTATTTTCTTTGTCATTTTCAGGTTCGGAAAACATATCTGAAACTAGCGTTCTGTGACATTTGCCAGAAGTTTCTGTTGAACGGTTTCCGCTGCCAAACATGCGGCTACAAATTCCATGAGCATTGCAGCACCAAAGTGCCCACGATGTGTGTGGACTGGAGTAACATCAGACAACTCCTGTAAGTGTCTTCAATAGCACATTCTGTAAATTCTGTACATTATGATTAATCCATTATAGAAATATAACTGACAGACATTTTGAATCTAATCAAAGCTGAGGTTGGATTCATAGTGCTTGAGATATAGTGTTGAGATAAAAAAAGAGAAAGAATGTTCTGCTGATACTACAGGTCTCCTGATTAAGCTCCTATATACGGATTTGCGTACTCACACTGAGAATAGAAGCTTATTAGTGTTATTTTGCATACAGGCTGCAGGACTGATAGTTATCATTTGTAGGATCCATATCATTGACAGTGGCGAGATAAAGCCTTTCACCTGACAACCATTGTATTCTTTAGCAGTCAGCTGTTATTTGATTAAACTCTGACACATTCCCACGCACTGAGGGTCTTTATCGCTGTCGATCTTCAGGTTGTGTCCGACACCTGGCGACAGCAGCGGCCCGTCCCTGCCCTCGCTCACGTCCCGGCGAATGAGAGAATCCTTGACACGGTTTCCAAGGTCAGGCAACACTTTTATCTCTGATCGATCCACAACCCATAAATACAAACTACATAAAAAATATTTAGCAGAATTGAGCCCACCTCTTCTACGGTCAAAGGGGCAAAAAGAGACAGTACTTCTTTTTAGACGGGTTTCCTTGTATACAAACCAAATGTATGCTTACATTCAGTGTTGCTTACCAAAGCGCATTGTGTGTATCCTTGAGCTCTACCAAATTAGTCTAATGTATTTTCTTCCACATAAAACATTTGAAAGTATTTCAAACCCGGCATTGTTTACTTGCTCACAGTCTTCCTCTTCGACTTTGCTGCATATCGCTACGTCTAACATAAGGAACATGTAACACGTCATGTGCTTCCTTGTACACAACATAAACAAAACGGGGACCTTCACAAAGAACCAAGTGTTGAACAATGGCGTATTTAGGCAGCTGTGAACATGATCATTTCCTGTTTTTTGCAAATCAGTCTTATTGTAATGTGTAAGGAACCTAATCTGAATTGAATTAAATCCTATTTCTAATGACGTCCTCAGCTTTATGAGGTTTTAGCAGTCCAAGAGCTGACGTAATGAGAGGCGTGAAAAGAGCCTGTTGTTTCAGCAGCACTTCAAATGGTTAAAAAGCACTCTGAGCTGCCAAATTAGCGCTCGCAGAGTATCAAGTTGTTCCATGCAGAGCGATCTCAAATACTCTTTGGAAACATGGTCCTGTGCTGCCAGAACGGGGATTGTTCTTAAAGAGAGCAGTGCATGGTTGTAATTGTGATTTAATATGATCTCCATGATTATACACGTCATTCACTCTTCATCGCCCCATTTTAAACAGCAGCTACAGTCCAGCTGTTAATAATCCAGTAACAGGAACACTCTTGTTCATATGTTTTTGGATATTTGAACTGGATCAGGTTTTGTGCGTTTTTAAAGTGAACATCTCAAGTCAGACTAACATTTGGTTTGTTAGCAGATTTACATATTGGGCTGGTGAGCTTTGTACTCAGCTGAGCCAATACTGATATTGGCAAACATCAAGGGCAAAATAGCTCTACTTTGTCAAGTGAGCCAAACATGGGGAAGGCCAAAGTAAAACTACTAATAACTACTTCACCAGTGTGTTTTTCCATTTGTGTTTTTTCCCCCATAGTATTATGCATGCGTGGTAGCAGTTTGTTGACGACACAACCTCAACATATGATGCTTGACTGTGGAAAAATAACAAACGAAACCTGAAAGCCACTGCATCAACCACCACCACACCCACGACAGTCCAGATTATAAAGAAGTCACTGAATTCACTGTTTGCTCTCCTGTCAAATGTCATTGGTGCATGTCATTTTGAAGCAGGGACAAGAGACGTCGACGAACAATAGCTGCTCTGTGGTAATATTTGGTCCTTGTCCACCTTTACAGCTCGGCCCACCGATATTCCACCCCTCATGCCTTCAACTACACCGCGCCTTGCACGCCCGCAGGCGGCTGGCTCTCCCAGAGGCAGCGCTCCACCTCCACACCCAACGTCCACATGGTTAGCACTACCCTGCCTGTAGACTGCAGCATGATTGAGGTAACTACACACCACCCTCTTGGGTACTCCTGTAGGTTGAAGCCACTCCTAAAATATCTCCTGCCTGAGAGGGATCTTGCCCTCCTACGTACATCTCAGGCATTCCAACTATCTGCGCCTTGCTTCTTTCTACCTCTTATCTATGTTAAGTGATTCACCTGAATAGGGTTGAGCCTGTTTTATGTTATTTTAAAATGTGCCACACTTGACTTCCCCCTCTTCAGGTCTAGTTTCTGCATTTTAAACTCATGTTCTTGCATAATCAGCTCTATATTTCCTCTATATTCTGTTCAGGTAGTAACTGAGAACTATTATTTTCCTCGCTCCTTCCTTACTTTGCTTTACTCTGTCCCTTTCCCCCCCTGTCTTCGCTTGCCTGTTGTATTGTGTACCCTGCTGGGGAGTAGCTAGACTGCCTGAATACGTCCCCCAGCTCCTGGTGCCATAGATTCTGGCTGAAGAGGAAAGTAGGTATTGTGCACTTCTCCCAGTCTTTTGTTGAGGCCTCATCCGAGAGACCAGAAAAGGTTAGAAAGCGGTGCGTCTGTGTGCAGTCTGAATTGCATGCATTGCAAACAGACTATCTGCATTCATATCTCAGTACGGAAGTCAAACCATGAGTGACTGCACAGCATGTTGTTCACTGTGTTTACTGACACCATTTCTTTTGTCTCTAGGATGCAATGCGTGATCATGACTCGTGTAAGTACGCGCTCTACTTTTCTCCTGTTGTGTACTTTTTTGTGTTGCATCACACTTCCTCCTTACACTGTCAACTAAAATCTCCCCCTTTTTGATTGTGCATTCATTTGAAGCAAGTGTAATAATTCAAAACTTGTTCTGTTTCTTGACTGCCTGGCTGTCTCTGTTTCCCACCAAATTGGGACATTTCTCATCAAAGCATTAGGTTTTTACCAATAATATTTAATAGACTTAAAAAAATAGCTTAACACTACAGGTGGTAGGACGGTAATACAAGATTAAGTTGTATGTGATTAACCTTCAAACAAGGAAAAAAGGCTCTATAGACATTGTAATTAATCTTAATACACCATTTTTACATTCATTCATATCAACAAATGTGTCGCCTATTTATTTTATCATTGGCCATCTTAGCTCCCTTTTGTTGAGCCTAACAGAAGCATGAAGGAGGAGGATAGGACAGGAGTCAAAATTGGCCTTTTTCTATTGTTGTGGGCATATAGATCACTCTTATATCCCATTTAATTAAATCTTAAATATCCAACACTTTATATAAATGTCATCCTCTGTGTAGATTCAGTAGTAAATGATTTTGAAGCAGCCTCAATCGTGAATCCATACTTAATCCCTTTTTTCTCTAATCTTCAAGCGGGTAGTTCCCCCAGCCAGAGCCCCACAGGCTGGTCCCAGCCTCCGTCCAAAGCCCCCGCCCCCAACCAGCGAGAGAGGGCACTGTCCTTCAACACTCAGGAGAAAAATAAAATTGTAAGTCCGATGCATTGTTTGTATGCAGGCGTGGAAGTAGTAAATGCCATATACTATCAAAACAGTTTCAAAGTAGTATTTTAAGAAGTGTACTTTGCTGCATTCCACTAGTGAGTAAAACAATCCTGCACCCATTTATTTCCTGCTTATATGCTGTATATAAATAGAAAATACTTTCAGACCAGTTATGGAGAACAGTGTCTGATGATAACTGGTTTGATTGATTGGTTATGAGTCTCACATACATTGCTCCTTCTTGATTTCTGTTCCTCCAGAGGCCTCGGGACAAGCGGGACTCTAGTTACTACTGGGAGATCGAGGCCAGCGAGGTCTATCTGAACAACCGCATCGGTTCTGGCTCATTTGGAACCGTGTACAAAGGGAAATGGCATGGTAGGAATGTATTTCAGATGGGGCAGGGCACTTTCAGGTGTAACAACTTGCACTTTTACTTGTCCGTACTACACTTAACAATTTAAAAAGATTCACCTGTGCCCATAAGGATTTTCATATGGGCTCACAAGGGATTATTGTGGATCATGGGGATCTGAGCACAGTCTTTTTGTTGTAGGTGATGTAGCAGTGAAGATATTAAAGGTGACCAACCCAACACCGGAGCAGTTTCAGGCATTCAGAAATGAAGTGGCAGTCCTGAGGTAAAGGTTATACATCAATACATTTACACAATAACCCTTTTTAAAGCTAGGTTTTTCAGCTGTTTAAAAAAAAAATGTAATTGCTGAAATCCTTCAATTTCACCGCAAAATGTTATGTTATCTCCAATTTGTGGTTTCCCCTTCCTTTCTACCTCGCAGGAAAACACGACATGTCAACATCCTGTTGTTCATGGGCTACATGACGAAGGACAACCTGGCCATAGTGACCCAGTGGTGTGAGGGCAGCAGTCTCTACAAACACCTTCACGTCCTGGAGACCAACTTCAAGATAATCCAGCTCATCGACATCGCCAGGCAGACGGCTCAGGGCATGGAGTAAGTCCTGACAAATGGATCTTTCCTGATTTACAAAATTAAAAGAAACCAAGATATCATAATAAAAATTCTCTCTCATTTTCAGCTATCTGCATGCAAAGAACATCATTCATCGTGACATGAAGTCCAACAGTATCCTTTCTATTAGCTGTGTGTGAAAGATAAAAGCACTTAATGCACTTTAACCTGTTAAGCCCCAAGCCTGTTTTTCAGGTCTCAGGCTCGAAAATGACATTCCCAGAACAAATGACTATAACTTCACTTCTAAAAGGGGTAAATTAATAATCTTTTTTCTCAAAGCGATGATAAACCTGTGAGTTGGATGTAGAAAAGTCAGAATCAATATAGATGTTTTTATTTTAAAGTAAATTCAGATTGAACATGGTAAAAACATGTAAATTAAAGTGTCCGTCCAAAAAGAAAACATTACTTATAGTGAAAACCACCCTTGAATGATGGGATAGTAGACTCAAAGCTTTAGGAATCCAAACTATAACATATAATAAGTACCCTGTATCAAGATTGATGCAAAACAAGTGACATTTGACCTTTTTAGAGAAGTTTAGAAAAAAACCCCACCTCTGGGGTCATTTGGGTGCATTTGCCATATCTCTGGAACCCATCGGTCGATTTTGGTGATTGACACCTCTTTTGAACCGTTAGAGCCAATAGGATCGAGGGGAAGTTCCTAAATCCATCTAAACATTACCATTGGTGAATGAGAGTGATGCACAGCCAGCATGCCCCAAACCGGAAGCTGGGTTACACTCTATAGAAAACGATGTTTATTGACATAAATGTTATGATGGATTATCAGTAATCATTTCAAAGTGACACAGAGACATTGGGTTAACCTTCAGCAGCGTTTATATGCGTTTTAATGCCCTTGAACACAACTTTTGATCAGAAAACAGCAAAGGTAAGACGTATTTGCCGTTTTGGCCCCGTAAAGTGAAGTTGTGTGTTGTCTTTGCTGGCTTGCTCCGCCGTTTTGGTCGCACAGTGATGATACTTATATCATTGGAATCTGTGGAATCTCAGCTTTCATATGATATCTAGTTTGTGTAGATTGCATGAAGTATAAACATATTGTACTGTGCTTTAGCACTCTTTCGCTTAGTGCTAATTCAGAGGCTTGGCGTTAGAGTTGTGTTTTGTTTAGGTAAACATTGTTCATATCGTCAGTTAGCTGAGTCTCTTTCCGTTAAGTGGGTATGACACATTAATAGGTTGTTAAATGTTAAGAAGCCCTGAGACACAGTTTCGTGAAAATTGTTCCGCCGGCGGGGGCTATCGGGCTTAACAGGTTAATCCTCATGGTGGTCAGGATGTGTGTTTTCTCAGTGTGCTTCAGCTGTGATTCCTTGACAGCGGTGTAGACATCTTCTTGCATGAAGGGCTCACGGTGAAAATCGGGGACTTTGGTCTGGCCACAGTGAAGGCCAGATGGAGCGGCTCGCATCAGGTGGAGCAGCCCTCTGGGTCCATTCTGTGGATGGTCAGTAACACAGCCTTCCTTTCACTGAAGCAATGAAGAAAACTGTTCTGAGACTCTTTTCATGTGAGACACAACAGCAAATATAAAGAAATGTGTGTTAATTGTGTGTCCACAGGCTCCTGAGGTTATCCGGATGCAGGATAACAACCCCTACAGCTTCCAGTCTGATGTCTATTCCTATGGAATTGTTCTCTTTGAGATCCTGACGGGAGAGCTCCCTTACTCCCTGATAGCAACAAGAGATCAGGTAAAGTCTCATCGGTTACACGTTTCATATTGTGTGTCAAGTGGCAATAGTTTAGTGGTACAAAAGGTCATATAGCTGAGACACTTTTGCCTAAACTTTTAAGTTGGGTTACAAGTTTGGTAATGTAAAACAGAGCTGTAACCCACAGTCAGTCAAGCTCTAGTCCTCGCCTGTGTCCCAGTGTCAGTCAGCGAGCCCGGGCCAGAAGGTGGTGGACAGACACTGGGTCGCTGTCTGGAGGGGGTTGTGGAGCTGGCTTAAGTCCCATCGTGGAACAGAGGCGGCCTTCCTGGAGCCACTGGCCTAATTTTAGACCCCGTAACACAACCCTGCCCGTGTGTTTGAAAAGCGCTGCATGGGAGTGCAAATGTGTGTCTGTGGTTTTTCGTCCTCCCGCAGGCCACGAGACCAAGTCTGGATCGTGTCTGGCTCCTTGTCCCGTTCAGTTTATTGTGTTTGTATTCAAAATAGGATAAAGTCGCTGTACAAAGTGTGCCCCATAAGTGCTGTTATGATCCACTGCTGACTGGCAAGCACATGGAGTACTCCTATCATCCATTATCTGAGCAGCATCAAGCACTCATGCCTCAACAAAAGCTCCCGTGTTTTAGATGCTTGTCACCTTTTTACTCTCTGGGTATTTTTTTAAACTTATCCCTGAGATGATCTGCTGATTAATCAGGTGCCTCCTGTTGTGGCACTGACTTGGATCATTAGTTGAACTCTTAAATGTTTACAAATGGGATCCATGCTCAAACCCCCCCCCCCCTCCTCCCCCCTCCTCTCAGATTATCTTCATGGTGGGAAGAGGCTACCTGTCCCCAGACCTCAGTAAGCTCTACAAGAGCTGCCCCAAAGCCATGAAAAGGTTGGTGGCCGACTGCATCAAGAAGTCCAAGGACGAGAGGCCGCTCTTCCCACAGGTGAAGTACTCACTAATTAAGGACTTCCAGCAGAATAAAGGGTGTTTGGTTGACTTAATAATTTTCTTTTCCATGTTATGCTTCTTTTGAATAGATTTTGTCCTCCATTGAGCTTCTCCAGCACGCCCTACCTAAGATAAACCGCAGTGCCTCAGAACCGTCCCTGCACAGAGCCTCTCACACTGAGGATATCAATGCCTGTACTCTGACCTCCACCAGACTGCCTGATTTCTAGAGTTTCAGACAGCCCTGCTATGCCTCCTCTCCTTACACTTACCCCTCCACCTTCTCTTTCAAAATATCCAGAACAGTCCAAATGCTAAGTATGCCCAAATGCTATACACACAGATGCGAATGTAAACCTACAAATGTACATACAATCATACATAAACCCTGTCTAATCAATACAATATGTGAGTAAGAGAGGAGAAGGAAGTGGATCTGAATGAAGATGGATTGCAGTGGGAAGAACACATGAAGAAGCTGGCTTAAGATGGTGCCTTGATTATCGCTGCACGTATTAAGAAGTATGCAGAGGCTCCACGGTGACAATTTGGTAACATTTGTAAATAAGTGCACGCACAGCTACCTAAGACGACGATAAATGGACACTGAAGGAAACGCAAGAGGAAGACAGATGTTTCTCTCTGGATTTGGGTTCTGTGATGTGAAGCACAGCCTTCTGTCTGACCGCGCTGGTTTCTGATGAAGAGGAATTTAAAGCTAAGATGCCTTAAGAGGAAACAAAGCCTGGACTAAGATCCTGCACAATTCACCTCCTCTTGTCATCACAAAGCCGTTGGAGGTAGTCCATTTAGTTGCACAATAGTAGTTTATTTTGCATTGTCTTAAAGGATAATGGTGTAGAAATGGGAAATTGTTTTTCTTTTTTTATTGTCTTTTTTGGGGGGGTCATTTTGGAGAACTATCAGCCTGTCGGACAGCGAGCATGAGTGATGACGGTAAAATGGAATTTGCACACACTAGCAAAAGCAATGGTTATTTCCTAACCGTATACATATGGCTTCATAGATCTGTAGATACACACACATTCTTATCAGTCCTCACAATGGGAAGGTTATCATGAGCTGGACATGTGGCGGTTGTCTTAAATGTTTTAAATGATTGGAAACTAATTAGTATTTGTTGTCTTTTGATGTCTCTTTCAGGAGGTTAAACGTTTTTTGTGTCCTTGGATTCGATATTTTAATAAAATTAAGTTAATTTCCTTTGCCAAATATGTGTTTGTTAAATGTTGTACTTATTATTATGGGTGAAAAAATGTAATTAGTCCACACACTGTACGTTATATAATTTTATGACCAGCATTTGAAGCAGGTGAGATTTGATCAGATTTGTACGGCCTCCTCTCTCGTTCACTCACACTAAAGTCCCACACATGTGCAAGACTTTGTGGTGGGGTGAAATGTTTGCTGTAGCAGTGGCAACGTGGTGTAACCTCACAGGGGATCCAGTGCATACACCATTATACATACACCAGGGGATTCCTCCATTGGCTGATGCTTCTATGTACGGCACAGCCATTGGCAGGCTCTGTGGAACAACAATCATTTAGCAAGGGAGGGACGTGCTGTGGAAAAAGAGGACAGTTATATTTTTGTTTTAGTATAAACATGCAACGTGTGGTTCCTGCTGGGCATGGGCGTACACATTTATAGTAAATATGGGCATCATTTATGTGATCTAAATAAGAAATTATTGATTATTTTGAATTGAAATGTATGCCAAGGCTGTAAAAAAAACATGATGGAAGCTTTTTTCAGCTCCTTATATTTCTTGAGTGACACGTCACAGGTTACAATAGTGCAGATGTCATCAAAAGTGGAGCAATGCAATAAGAGCAAAGTCATCAACTGACCGCTAGTCTTCTATTTTTAAGACGGTTTTGCTATATGTGTTTATCTGTTCTATTTCTGCTTTCTGACAAGCCACACAGGCACACAGTCATACACCCCTGGCCTACAAATAGCTCCATCTAGTGGCTGTTCCTTCAGGATGTGTCGCCCTTCTTCACACACTACTTGCAGGAATAGTGAAGTAAAAAGTACCAAGACAACAATGCAAAATATGCCAATATGAGCAAAAATCTGGCATTCAAACCCCTTGTTAAAATGGCAAGGACCCTGAACTACCTCATTCTTTTTAAAAGGAATAGTTGTGTAAGGAAACACTGGCTAATCATCAGGTTAATCATGCATTGTAGTTCACAAAAGCGTTTTTTAATGTGCAAAATAAATGTATTTTAAATATGCATATACACATTTATAGTTTATTTCATTACCAGGGTAAGTGTAAGGCAAGGCAAGGCAAGGCAAGTTTATTTATATAGCACCTTTCAACACAAGGTAATTCAAAGTGCTTTACAAAAATGGAAGACATTTTAAAAATGGCATTTAAAATCAGTCATTAAAAAGGAAAGATAATAAAATAAACATTAAAAGAAAAAATACATGGATAAAAGTTAAAAGTTACAGTGCAGTTTAAGATGTGAATAGTTCAATTAAAAGCAGCGGCAAAAAGAAAAGTCTTCAGCCTGGATTAAGTACATTTATAAATAATTCTCTTTAGACAATGCAGACTCAAAGAGAAGAAAGAACACACATTCATCTACTAATGCAGTGTAATAACAAGAGAGCCTCCAGATGTCTAGCACCAATATAAAGCTAATAGGAGCCCAGCTGCGATCGATGTAATAGTGTCTGCCAAAATCTCTCTCATAGCCTCTATCTGGAATAGAAACCCATTATATGAGTGTCACTTTATAATGAGCCTACAATGGAAGACCACATCTTTTCAATGGTGCTGTAACCGCAATCTTCACTGTATATGAGAAAGACAAGTGTGTTTTGTAGGCCTCTTGTGCCTCAAATCCACCACCAGATGGCATCAAGAAGCTTTGTGTGGTCCACCAGTATTTCCCAATCAAACTGCAATGTTGATGGTCTATATATTTTTGGTGTTTCATTGTAAACCATAAAGTATGAAAAAGGAACGTTAATATGTTAGAAATAAGAGTCTGGTACATTACATGATATGCAATGATCCCTCATTCACTCATTCTCCTTCATTATTGGAGGTGTTGGTGCTTCTCTCTCTCATCCACTGTGTTTTTCAGCAGATGGTCAGTGCACCAGGGTACAAGATTTCCATGTTGTGCAGCAGCTTGGCAGGCAGCTGGGAGGAGTCTAGACGGAGGCTCCTCAGCTGGATCTCCGGGGCCCTCAGTGTATTTCTGAGTTCTTCAGTGGCTTTTACTCCACCACCAGGCCAGGTCAGGTCAGTGTGCTCGTTAAGAGAAAACACATCAGCACCATCTGGAAGCCTCACAAACACATAAGGATGAGCATATTTTGATCCGTTGGAGATGTTTGCTGATATCATGACTTTGCTGTTTCCAAGACAAATAGCAGATGTGTTACTCTGATATGATATGTCATTTAGCTCAAGTACCTCAGATCTCTCAGCAAATGAATGCTCCCATCAGGACATAGAAAGGTCTCTGCAGCCAATTACTGATGAGTCATGTGTAGGCAGAACGTGCACAGTGCTGACCAGTCTCTGCTGTCAGGAACAACAAGAGGATAAGCACAGAAAGGCATCATACTAGTAAAATAACAAACTCAAAATGTTGAGGTTATCATTAGAATTGTGGGTTAAATGATCGTTGTTTTTACAAATATAAGACAAATACACACTCACTTCACAATGTGTTTTCTCTTTGTTGAAATAATTTAATAATATACTGTGCAGAGCAGTGGTTGCGTTAGACTTTTTCGTTGTCTGTCATTTTGACGGACAGGATCGTAACATTTCCGTCATAATCCATTATTACCCGTCATTTTATTTTTCATGTTTTAATGATGAGACATATTTAATATTTATGTTTGGGTACTAAGCAGCAAATGTTCATTCATTCCTTTTTTTTATGATTCATACAGAACTTTTAAGGGCATGGAGAAAAAAAAAGATGAACAGAGACACCGACCGTGCGGTCACTTTTCATGTCGAAACGAATATGAATGATTTATTTTTTCCTTGCCACTTGCTTGTCCCTCTGCTGCTGGCTGAACGTTGTCAGTGTTAGTCTTACTGGCTTGTCCTTCATCCTCCACTGCATCAATCCCTCTTCTTTCACCTCGTTTATCCACACCATCACAATTACTGGGCTTATTAAAAAAGCTTCGGACACTCAGCTGCCGTGACATTTTGCGATTGCTAAAGCCGGTTAAACAACGAGGAAATCAACGAGGTCAAATACAAGACTAGACAATAGCTACTTAATATGCACACACTCGCCACCAACTGGACAGGGGTGTGAATTACTAAATAATAGTTAAAGTAGAGTACAGTAGATCGCCCTCAGTCGACCTGGCCATAAGGATGTAATATAATGTGGGCCGCTGGTGGACATTTTGGCGCTGTTCCGAGTTGTGTTCTAATCTGTCAAAATGACGGACTGCTTTCAGAGTTTTCCGTCATTCTTGGAAAAATTACGTCATAGACGGAAAATATTCGGTTAACGCGACCTCTGGTGCAGAGTATGCAGGGTTTGTGCTTCTATTTATTCTTAGTTTAAAATGTAAGTAAGTTTTGAGTGTCATGTGGACATTTGAAGCCCTCCTGTGCACATACAAGGAGAATAGACTTAGTAGAATTTACTTCAAAAAACACAACTATATGTCTTAAAAACACAATATTTGTAATTGGTACAGCACACCAGGTCTGTTAACTTGACAGTAATTGCATATGCTGAGGGATCCTTGTGTACTCTCAGTCAAGGTAGCTTGGTTGTGGAAAAAAAGCATTTACAGATCTGGTGGGATGTTGTAACACTGTCACCAGTTGGCTGATTCAGTATAACTAAAAAGGCAAAACATCCAAAGCAATAAAGCAGAACAAATAATGTCATAATGGAGTGCACCTTAAGAGATATTTTTCAATTTGGTAGAAGCGTTATCAAGAGAATAATAAACCCGATTGACAAATACGCTTTGGTAAGTAATGAATGTGCTAAATGAGGTATTCGTAATATCATTTGTTACTGTCATGCAATGCTTGAAAGAAATGTTAACAACATTTTATTATATTTTATGAGCCAGAACTTCGTTTGTTGCTTCATCTAACCTCATACAATTAGATTTAAATCACAAAAGAGACTGTTCACATTCACAGGAAACTTCATTCAGGGATTGGCTTTTCGGTTTAAAACGAGGACTAACGAAACATAATCTAGGTCCAGTTGTGGAAACATTTGGATTGTTTCTGTCTGTCAAACCAAAGGCACTGAGACAAGAGAATTGTGACTCTATATCTGCAGAGGGAGTCAGGATGTTCACTCAGTAGCGATTCTATTAGGTATTCATGTTTAATCTTGTAATGTTCACTGGTTCTGGCAGAATTGAATCCTTAAGCCATTCAATGAGACAGTCAGTAGCAAGCATAATACCCAAGGCCCAAAATACAGGCAAGCTGGATGAGAACAGCCAGATCAGGTAAATACAGGCTAGAATACGCTGGAGAGTTTGGTAGAAGCAGCCAAGACAATCTGGCAGCAGCTAAAAGAGGATGGTATAAATTCTGAAGGGTAAAAAGGGACTGAGCTGCAGGGGAGGAGTGGGGCTGGGGAAATGAGGTGAGGGGAATAAGTTGAAGGCAGGATCTGAAATGACAGGGAAAACAAACTAAGAGATGGTGCATTGTGTAACGGATCAAATGCAAACCAATCTAAATTTGATGGCCATGTGTTTTTCTTGCACTGTCTTTGAAGAGTTTCTGAAAGTATGCCACCCTCATGTATCTGATATGAAAATGACAAACACATTGAAAACATCCCAATATCATTTAGTCCAGTACAACAGCATATTAAGCTAGGATCTCATTCAAAACAACATGTATTTGAATTTACACTTATTGTGAGTATTTGTGGATTCATTTTCAGAAAAGCGGTTACAGCCTTGAGGTTCAGCTTTGGAGCAGGCCTTTGTGAAAGAAATCCTTGTGGGGCCTTTAATTTTAGCAAAAGATAAATGTTGTTATGTAGGCATCGATGAAGACAGAGTGGTGAGTGAAATTTAAATGTACTTTTGCATGTTTTGATGAATGTTTTAATATACTGATCTGACTCAAAGATAGTAATGCCACATTGTTTAAGTGTGAGACAGACACAAAGAATGGCACAAACAAAGCGGAGGGAATACATTACTACAATATAGATATATTTACCACAATATGAATATTGCATCATGCATTGTTGTGTGCAGTGCAGTATGTAGGCAATATTTGGAGTAGTATGGCTTCCTCAAATTTAATTTGGTACATCCTGTATGTTTTTGATGAGGGGCGCCGCCAGGGATTTTGGGCCCCATGAAAAGATATCACATTGGTTACTTAAACATTTTTTTCTTGATGTTCTAAAATTGTTGGGGCCCCTGTCAGTCACGGGCCCTTAGAATCGTCCTAACTTTTCACCCCCTTACGGCGCCCCTGTTTTTGATCATAAGGGTTCCCTTCATAAACAGCACAACAACAGATGAGGACACAGACCATACATATATTGCAAAGGAAGCTTTATTGCCAGTGACAGAGGGGAAATATCCAGAAAGGAAGTTTTTCCACAATATATTGTATTCTGATCTTGATTTAAACAGTCCAACACCGGTTTTAAAAGTACATATATTGAGCAAGTTACCATGGCCCTTAATAGTTGCAGTCCTGCAGGTCTGAAGATATAAGTTTCACCTCAACACATCGGCCAAATAAAGACGTCCAGTTATAATTAGTCAAATATCGAGTCTCGATCACTGAACCAAGGGATGAACATGCAGCAGTTTCCTCTGCATGTTTCTCCCTTGGAGTTCAATGCCTTGACATATTTCCTATTGAACAGAACAACACACTCATCAAGCCCCAGGCATGGCTTTTACAAGGATACACTCACAGATACAATGGCACTTTATACAACTTGGTAAAGAATTGCACACAGAGCTTGCTGAACATATGTCATACTATAGTAACAAATACATTGGAAAACAGGTACAGATTTCTTTTTACAGTTGATTTGGTTGCTTTTTAGCTGTTTCACCATTTAGGGTATTTGATTTATGAAATAGCCTCCACATAAGCCACTGGACAACAACCAAGTGATTGTGATATTAGTTTACAAACGCTTAAAAAAAATTCATTGAGTGGATGACTATAGCTTTTTGAATCATTTCAATGGAAGATCTGATTTGAAAATAAAACGATTATTGAGTAAAAAACAAAGATTTGTATTGCACTTTCCATCAAATCACAGGAAGAGTGTTGAATATTCAGAAACACAGACGCTAAAATCTCAAAGAATGCGTATTGTTGTCATAGCAACACCACAATGATAGCCAATATCCAGTGTGAGGGCCACAGGGGGGCATTATATCTGGCAATTGAGTGGCAGATCATACATTATTCACCTTTGTATTAGTAGCCGTAATGCCCGCCTCCTCACAACCGGAGAGACCACAATTTTAATATATGGCATCAATTCAGTGGCTTTGATTCACAACAGTCTATTTGAAAACATAGAATTATTGTCTTGTTCTCTGGTGAAATTACACACACTGCAGCCCACTCGCTGATATTTACATTGTGGGTTACAGGAGTGCAAAGACCGATTGAAAGTAAATGATGTATTCTTTGGTTCAAAATTATATAAATATATTTAAGTTGTGTGTGCAGACACCTGCACAACCCTTCATAATATAATCTGTATCTTTAATAGAGCTAATAGATCTTAGACTAAGTTTTATTATTTATAATGTGTTTATCTATGAGTATCATAAAATCACTCATAACATAATCTCTTTTCTGGTAACATTGTGACAGTAATGATGAAAAGAAGGAGAAAGGCCACATACTGTATATCTCTATAGTATGTGTATGCACACTGGTATAACGCTTGATTGGTAATGGATACATGTAAGCTATTTAACTTATATAATATGCATTTCATAAAACACATTCACAATGCATGAATCACAGGGAACACAGCTTGGGTAAAACAGTGATGTTTCATGATTTTCCCACTTGATCAGACATTAGTAACTGACTTGCACCTTCTTTTGTATCAATCATGCAAAACAAAAATAAATATCTATTATATTAGTATGAAAATAATCACCACTACAGCCATACACACTCACGTACTGTACACATATTGAGATACACACACTTCAAACTGCACGATAGTCCACAGTCCGAACAATATCTAAGGTACACACCAAAATAGTCAACAGAAAAGGGGGTAAGGGGCAAATAAAATATTTATAGCTGGGTCAAACGGGTAGCACAGAGCAGCACTGGACTCAGTGGAGGCACAATCTGCTTTTTACATCATCAACAACAGCCCCAAAGAAAAACCACAGCTACTGAAACAAGGGTGACCTATACAAGCACACAAATCAACAGGTCAACAAGTAGACAGTACATTTTGACACTGCATAGAGTTAAAAACACAGTCCAGGGCAGCACTCAGCTGTTCCGAGCTCACGTCACCAAGATCTGATTCAAGCTGTTAGCATCCACACAAACACACGACCGCGCTTGAGTTTGGCTAAGAGACGTCGTTGTTATCTAGACTTTGAGAATTCTCTAGTTTCTCCTGGGCGACTCAGTTGGCCTGGACTTGTTTTTGGCCCACTGCGACGCCATTACAGTCGAGAATGTACTGCAGACAACCTTGAGGCGGGGCCACCGCACCGTTCTTAGCTGGGTCACCGACAACCTCTCCTTTCTGGCCAGTTCCCTAAAAAGACAAAGCAATTACTTACTCATCCCGCAACTTTGCTGGTTTTCTCATAGTGAGGTCTAAACATTTGAGTTTTTGATAGTATATAAACTACGATATGCTCATCCAACACATGTGTGTGTTACTGTACCTGGGATGGCTGAATGGTGGTGGGTCTCTGGGGAGCATTGGCTTCCTTCTCTGCTAACTGGTTCATCTGAGCCAGCACCATGTCAGCGATCAGCTGCCTGTCCTCGGCCTGGTGCTCCCCCACCAGAGGCATGGAGGATCCCACCACCTGTGGAACAAGGAGGATTTATTATAGCAGAGAGCGAGGATGTCGACACGTACATCTGTGGCATTATTCCGAAAGTACTGAACACTTGACCTTAAAGAACAGGTGTTTCATTGTACGCTTTCAAACTGGATTTTCTTAGACTCCTACCTCTGTGATAAAATCTCTGCCATCTTTCCCATGGATAGCTTTGACGGCGCAAATAGCCAGACCTCCAAAAATCTCTGAGCAGGTGTCAACCCACAGCTTGTACCTAGACAAAACAGTTCTGACTTAGACAAGCGGCAGCATAATGAGACACACCGGATTATCACAACTGATTACAGAAACAGGTTAACGCACCAATAGTTGCTTGCTTCTAATTAACATGTAACATAATACATTGAACGTCTTTTTCACACTGACATTTGTTTTTGTATTGGATCATAGGAATAATACACACCTATCAGTCATGGCCACCTGTTCAAGCATAGCTGAGCCCGTATTGGTCTTCCAGTTGCCAGATATAGACGTTCTCCTGAAGTGTGTAAAGCCCACAAATTATAACATCTTTGTTTCTCATAGTTGTACATTTGAGGTATAAAAAGTGGAGTTACACATACATGTAGGCCTTGTAGTCGTTGCCAATCTTCTGGATTCTGATGTCGTACTTGGAGTCGATGAGAGGTTCTGTGGTGGTGTACGTCTGGGTCAGAGCCACGACACTGGCTATGTCCTGGAACTTACTGTGATTGTCCACCTTCACCTGTACACAAAAACAGACATATGAGAAGAAAAACGAAAACTAATAGACTTTCAAATCGACATGGTGCAGACAATGTGTCCTAGTATTTTGATGATTTTCAAATGTCTTATATTAACAGCATATCATTTAAAAATGGTTCGCCCAACAAGTGTATATAACGTATTCTTTCCTAATACTGCACGAAGAAAAATGTCTTTACCTTTCCAATACCAGAGTGGGCATGTCCAATCTTCACAACTACAGGGAAGGATGGCATGCTGACCTGAAGTATGAAAGTTATTGCATTATATCTTTTTTCATACTGTACGTTCATCTTACATTCGCAAATAAGGAACAAATCTAGTTTAATGTCACACACATATTCTGAAATGAACTTTGGATTTGGTTCTCACCATCTCCTTGTAGTTGGGGTAAAAGGTCTGCTCAATAAGAGGGAACTTCTCAGCACCCAGCTTCCTGTGGGTGTTGATAAGTTGGGCAAACTAGACACACAAAAGGTAAATAAATCATAATTCATAAATCATTTCCCAAAGTAATCTTATTTACTTAGTATAAAACAATGCAGTCAGATTAGATCTCAATATTATCCTGTTCCCTGCTTCATTGCTTTACAGTAAGGTTCCTGCTGGGTGCTTACCGCCCATGGCTTGTCACACAGGTTGTAGATGGACTCCAGCGTGTTGATGCATGGAACGCCTCCATACTGCAGACCAATGACCAGGTTGCGGAAATCTTCATTCTGGGTCATGCTGAAGGCATGTTGACGAATGAGGACAAAGTCCGGCTTGAATGACCTGGTAAGTAAAATTTAAGCAAAGATGTGACAAAACTCTTACAAGAAATATGACAAATTGTGATAAGCATTGCTATCAGTGTGGATGATGAATGATGGAGGTGGATACTCAACATCCCTGTTGAATCAACCTTTAAATTAACTTGAATTTATGACTGTGGCGGATAAGTCTTCACTCTTTTCTTTTGTGTGTGTCTCACCTGATAACCTTGGTGCCATTTCTGTAGGCTTGCATGTTAACGATGCAGGTCCCGTTGGCATGAGCCACGACGTTGATCTCATTGAATTCAGCCTGAGGATGACCAGAGAGAGACACAAAAGGTGAGAGTAATAAACATTTCCTTTACATAATAAAATGGATATCACAGGCTTGGTAAAACACATACCTGCTCCACTTTGATCTCATAATCTCCAGGTAGTTTCTTCCCACGGAATAATTTTGCCCTGGTTAAAACAGAAAGACAACTTTCAATAAAAGCAAAAAAGGAAAAATAGTAGAGACCTTAATTGATTACAAACCAAAGGGTAAATTAAGCATTCACGTATCACTTTATATGAATTAATGTTGAATAAATCTTGCTTTGTTGGGTGAAAAGGGTTCATTTGCAGCACAGTATAGACACAATCTCCCTTTCACGCTCTTCAAACTGCTGAAGCACAGCCTCCTCAACACTTCTTCCCTTCAATCTGGCAACAAGTAAAGCGATAAAATATTGCAACACTATTCCAAGCTACATGATTGTTGAAAACCGAGCCCTTCAACAGCATACACGCAGATGCAATGAAGACTTTCCTACGGCCTGATCCACTAGCAGTACCACTCAGTGGGGTTATTTCAGGACAATGCAGTGATGAAAATGGCTGCATTCAGCACTCTTCAAAACAGGTTAAACAAAAGTGACACCTGTGGGTCTTTTAATTCCCATTTTTCCCATGGATAAATGAAACATTTTTGCCATGGGATTTAAGGCTAAGATGGATCATTGTCTACCGACACCACAGAGAGATGAAAGCTGCAGCAAATAATGATTGTCGGTGTGTTTGATTTATTTGACTTTTTCCTAGACCTATGTACCAGGGCTGGGCCTGAGAAGATAAGCCTTGAAAGTACAACTTGGGTGAGCTAAAATAAATCAATAATAAGGATGGACCAAAAAAACCTTTCTACCCTTTTACTTCCACAAATTGCCATGTAGGAGTTTTCCTTTCCACAGCTTCTCGCTCAAACTTAAACTTAGTGACATTTACTGCAGTGCAACAGTGTTAAATTGGTGTGAGGCTGAGCATTATGTAACTAATAGGATCCGTAGAACCTCCATGTTTTGGCTGTTTATATTTTTAGACGACATGCTGTGGAGTTCTCATTCCCTCTTCCTCTGAGTTTGCATCACCCTGCTGTCACGTACCCAGCACTCCCTGCCAATGTGGCGCGGAGGTAGATCTGCATTATTCATCCCCAATCTAATTAGGGCATGGGGATCTATTTGGCTAGGGAGGACAACAAGCATTAAAGTATGAATCACTGCTCATATATCTGGGAAAATGAAAAGCCTACTCTACTGTGATGAATATGCTTTGTCAAAACATACAGTGTAGACTGAGGCGGTGTTTCCATTACACGACCCCAGGAACAAACACAGACACGAGGCTAAAAATCCTATGATTTCATTTGAATGTTTGAATGTTTGAACTGTACTTTATCACTCTGCAGAACTCAGCCCAGCTTAGCATACTGAGCATGGAAGCCCCGTGTTCAAAGAGGAATCCACCCTATAGTTCCTTTGAAATCTTTCAGCACAGTGCATTAATATGCATAAGTATTTGATAGTCAACTCACATTAAGCAGCTCCTCTGCATGGAGGCCCTCTGTTTAGTTTACCTATTCTCCTTATGTTTGCTTCCATCCAAAAATAAAGGACGTTATTGTTATGTATAAGCAACATTTCTGCCATTTTCCTTGGGTAACATACTGATCTTAAAGAAAGAGTTAGACTCTGGGCAATGTGCCTAACTGCTCACTGAGATGTTTACTTGGATGTTTCATTTGAAAGAATCAATATTTGGACTCTTGACTAGAATTAAAGATGGAATGAAAAACCAAATAAGGCCAGAATCCTCTTCCTCTCTTCTGATTTTAAGAGTAAGTAAGACAACATAGACAATGAAAAATTAAGCAACCTCATTAATTGTTGCAGCTTGTCAAATTGCCAAATTACATATTGCTGAGAAATTTAAATCACTATTTATTCATTCTGATGAGTCACCCGGGAGCTTGGTTAGCGGGAGTCCATGTTGAATTTGTATGTCTCATCACTTAGCCTACTTAAGATTCACCCTTACACGTGGGTAGGGTTTGAATAAGGTACAGCTCACAGTACAAAACATTCATGTCCTGATTCCTGTTCAAAGCAGTCCCATTTGTGTTTTTGTAATGTTGAACAGTGTGACTGAATATAAGGACTCTGAGCCTCTCTACTTTAAATTGAGCGACAACACGGAGAGAATAAGAAGCAGTACATGTCGGCCATTAGTCTGATAAGACAGGGGAACATCTGCTCCTCTTGCCATAAGAGACATTTATAGCTCAGTATTCCTGGCACAAAACAAACCTCTCTGACTGGCAGCCTCATATAACAAGTCAAAGCGTTGTCTAAATGACAAAATGCTGCTTTCTCTATATGTGCTGTGAGCCCGGTAATTTGCATTGATGTTATCAGCATGCATTTAATCTACAGATAATTATTCTGCTTAACACAACCTGTTACACAACCCTTTCTTATTCAGATACATGTCCATAATGATGTGCTTTTCTTTTCTATAACTGGCTGATTCTAATATTGCAGGACATGTTTGCATTTAAAGGCCCCTGTGGAATATTTCTCACTTACAATTCAGTCACTGTGATTTTCCAGAAATATTAAGGTTTACACACAGTGTTATGTTTCCCAATATTGTCAGGGTGACACAGTATGCAGACAGTGCTGTACGAAAATGTGTTTGTGTGTAAAATATCATCTGGGATCTTAAAAATAGATGTTGATGACAGAGCCTTCTGCCAGATGCAATTAGTCTGAAGGACTCTTTCCTGATTTCATTCTGTGTCACCGGTATTCATCACTCTGGCTTTTATTTACAGCATCAGGCAGATATACTGTCACACAAGATAGATACAGCACATACATACGCTGAGAGACTCAAGGTGGGCCAACATTACAGAGGATGTTGGGTACTTAGTGAAACCTGCATGAAAATATAGACATATTTCATCTCCTTAAAACTTGCCTGCAGCTTTATTTTTTTAAGGTTTTCTTCCTGCCTCTTTGAGAGCTGAATACAAAGTACCCTTTTATACATTTCAGCTCTTTTCTCAATCTTTCTCCTCTGAATCTCACTCAATGTGATATTTGTTTCTTTATATAGTTAATGGTCCAAACAGCACAGTTTGGTACCACATAAATCACCTATAAGCTACAGATTAGACAATGTGAATGAAGCTGACACTACACAGAGTAAATCAAGATTGATTTGTTGTGCCGTTGTGACCTAAACCCCCTTGGTGAAAGATCACTTAAAAGCAACCAATAAGAACCAAAAACATGTACAACTCCAGACTCAGTGAAATTGAGCAGTCATGAAAAATAGATGCAGCACTCAGACGGAGGAAGCCTTTTGAATGAAGCATTTCAGCTCATTCTCCCAAGTGGATGTGTGCTCGATATATGAAGCAAGAAACCATTTAAAACGATACTAGACTGCAGAGCCCACGGACCCAATGAACTAACATTATATCAAGCAAATTGCACAAGGAAAGAGAAATAATGTCTGAGCAGTAAAACACTTGCTGACAATACTTCAGATATTGTTTAATACGGACAGTTCGAACAATGGAGTGTATCTCACTCCCAGCTCTACCAACTCAATATTCTCAATTAGAACGACCTTTGATAAAAGGCATGGTTTCATTTATTATACTGCGTTTCTCTGCCAAAACTGCAGAGCAGAGTCAGTGTATTGGCACATCGGACTGTAATCCTTATTCTCCAACAAGCAGCTTCCTATCCACTCACAACAAATGTGGAACAAGTGGACGCAAAAGTCCGGCGCCCATCCCGCTGATCTTATTAAAATTGATCAAAGGTTCTGTTATATAAATGGCTAGTCCTGCACGCATAAACAGTGTATACTGCAAGTCCACCTGAATAAACCATGCTGATATCCTAATTTCTGTGGGACTTGTTTTAAGGGCATTTTCCTCTGAAGATTTAATTACATTGTCTGTTTATATGCATCTAAATCAGCGTGAAATTAAATCCTGCATATGCAGTCATGAGATACAGATGACATACAGTATTAACCTTGATGTGTTAACCATGTATAAAACAAGACATCCAGACCAGATGCATCCAAAATGGGAAGGCCATCCTGTCTAATCTGTTTCCTTGATCTGTTGAACAATGTTTACTGTAGGTAATTTTCATAAATTCAGTTAATTTCACTGAGTTAAAAATCAGCTCCAACTACCGAATATTGTGATTCGACAGCGGCTCTTCTTCCTCCGCAGGCTGAGCAGGTTCAACATGGGCTCCAGGATACTCTGCAACTTCTACAGGTGCACCTGACTGACTGGCTGCAGTCACGGCCTGGTACGGCAGCTGCACCGCCCTCAATCGTAAGGCTTTACAGAGGGTGGTGAAAACTGCAAGGAACATCACCAGGACGGAACTGCCATCCATGGAGGACCTTTACTCCCAGCGGCTCAGGAAGAAAGCCCTCAGGATTATAAAAGACCCCCATCACCCCAGCCACAAACTGTTCAGTCTGCTGCCGTCGGGGCAGGCGTCACTGCAGCACCCGGACAAAAACCACCAGATTCAGAGACAGTTTCATCCCACAGGCAATAAGACTGTTAAACACCTGAACTGTTGAAACAACATCCATACCATTCATCTGCTACTTAGTAATTATTTATCTATTTATCTAATATATCATTCCAATAGCTTGCATATAGACTCTTATTTCACTATTTCACTTTTTTTAAACTATTTTTCTGTTTGTATTTACTTTTTAATATTTACTTGCACTATATTTTTCTGTTTATCTGTATTATTGTGTTGCACTGTTGGAGAAGCCTGTGACCTAAGATTTCCATCAACATAACTACTCTGTAGCTATGTTCGTATGACAAATAAAGAACCTTGAACCTTGGTATTATCCAAGCATTTGGAGTCAAGGGTCCATGAAATCAGTTTACCATCCAGTGTGAAAGTGCTGAACATTAAAAAGGCATCATAAAGCTGAGTTTTGGTTTCCTGATTTTTAACTGGTGACTTTCCATAGATGCTTTGCAACAGAATGGAATATCACATAAGATGAGTTGTGGGATATTCAGTAGAATGTGATATCCAGATACACAGCTCTACACACACACCTTGCTGTGGAAAATGTGTCAGCTGTGTAAACAAGTGTTGATCACGAGGTTATAGAATCAACATAATGTTTAATTTACAAAAATATATGAATAACTACACAAAATAGGTTTTGTCTAAGGCTGTGTGCATACTGATTTGAAGCAATTGAGTTCCTTACTACAGTTGACTGACAACAATGCTTGTTCTAAGCTACCTCAGAGTTAGATCCCACAGGATGCTGACTGTCAGTGCATCAGCTTTAATGTCGTAAAGGAACCCTCTATTGACATTAACGACACAATGGTCCTTGCTCCCAGCAGGATGAAAATATGCAGGCTATGACCACCCTATATACTGCACATGACTTGTATGTTCGACCAATGGAAACCACCATGTGCTGCAGATACATGTCATGTGATCTATCAGTGAGCAGGGGGCAACCCCAATGATGGAGGGAAAGCACTGCAGTATTTAGATCACTAGCAGGGAAATAATGTACATTTCCATATTTTGCCCAACTTGTGGATCATCTTTTTTCAGAATTTCCAAAAGTTACATTAAAGGGCGTATGTTGTGAGTTAATGGAAAACATGTTTTACAGGCAGCTGTCATAAACCCTGCTTTCTGTTGCTACGATAGTATAACCAAACCAAATGCCAAAGAAAAACCCATCCTAAAACACAGACAAATAGAGGACAATAAAAATGATATATCTCTATCTATTGTAATTACTCCTGAAAATGAATAGACCGTATTTACTTAATTACTGTCTGCCTCTTGTAATATCAATACACAGGGATGCTAAACCATCAAACCACAGGAGTAGTGCCCATTTCCATCTGCAGGGTGCATGAAACACATGTTGTTGTCAAAGGATTCATGTGTAGAAAGGATGAGCAAACAAATAATACATAACCCATAAATGATTTGAGATGGATTTAATGACTGAGTAGAGAAAACATATTGTCTTACCACTCCTGTTGTGGTTCATCAATTACCAGGAGAATCTTGAACTTCTTAGGCGTCGTGACTTGTGTCTGCTCCACTAGCCCTGCTGAGGCAGCTGTCTGCTTAACAACGTTGGTGATGGAGCTGAAGAAGCCTGCTCCGCTTGACTGAGATGGCTGGGGTTTTCTCTCTGGAGCAGGGGAAGTGGCCGGAGGTGAAGGCCCAGTAGTAGGAGACTTGGCAGGTGTGGGGGAGGCAGGTGGAGCAGCCTGAGCCTCAGGCCTCTGGAGGTCTGTCATGTAGCCATTGGGCAGGTTGGAGATGAACGTGCTGTCCGAGAGACGCCGACGCAGATAATTCATGGCTGCAGCTGAGAGAGGAGAACAAGCACTGGGTGTGGAAAATGATTCTGCAGAGGAGTCCCTGTTCCCAGTGTGCAGCTGACGATGGCTGAGCTCTCAATGCAAACTCCCAGCAAATGTGTTCACTCCCAGTTCAGCAGAGCATCCTCAGAGCACCCCCTCATGAGCAGTGACGCTTCGCTCTCCCTCAGCCAATCCCTTTCCCCTGTGCTTCCCTCACCCACTGCAAATGATGCTCCAACTCTCCTTCCTCCTCTCGTTCTCTCCTCTCTTCACTCTCACTGGTGTGCCTGCCTTCCCTACCCCTCCCCCATTATCTGCTGCCTCGCAGGCGTCATGCTTTCTTGAACCACAGCATTTTAGATAGAGGGGTTTCCAGTGTAAGTGCAGGAGGGTATACAGAGTACTACACAATAATTGCCTTCCTCCGGCTCTCCCTATTTATTGTGTTTTCTTTGCCCTCTGTCCATGCGCAGCATGTGTGTGTGAGAAATGCAGCCATGAAATCTAAAATGGCTGTTTGGACTAGTGGGCAATGTTGAATGAGAGGAGAAGCGTCAGCAGCAGTCCCCTGAGACACAAGTGCCTGCAGTAAACCCTCTCTCTTAATTGATTTATTGATCCCATTTAGCTACTGATTTTGGTTATTACATTTTCCTACAAGACATTCTTTTCCTGACTGTTTTATATGACTTAATTAGAAGGCACTTGTCTACTATGGCACAACAATATTATGTGCAATTACATTTTGATATACACATTTACGTGTGTACACAATCGAAATGCTTATGAAAGCACAAAAACACAACATACATTTTCTGTATTATATTGTCTGTAACTGAACATTTACTTTCATACATTTTGCTGAAAAAAAGATATTGACCAACTTAATGTCTTATTTAGCAAAAATAATGTGAATGTCAAAGGAGGAATCTGCCCCTGGTACTCTTTTATATAATACATTAATGGCTGTTACATGTTTTCATTGGTAAATACAGGGAATATACTTAGAAGGAACTAAAGCGGTTTGATGAAAACCTCATAGACTACCACATCTCGTTTCCAGTAATAGATGAATATTTTGAAATTGCATCAGGAAACAGATCAATAGATCAATAACTCATCAATAACACACTCACCACAAATCTTGTCATGGGGCTGCACAGTTCACACGATTCTGAAAAATACAACATTGACTCGTAAGCACAAATCAACCTAAGATTAATAAATGTTATTACTAAGGCAACGGAATATTTATTTCTCCGCATGAACACTTTAATACGCAAAAGCCATGAAGTTAACCGCTTTGAGCAAACTCCCTCAGCCATCAGGAGATTTAAACCGCACTGACAGGCAGAGGCCACTTGGAAAATTGAGTAAATATAGCAACGGGCTATTTGCACAAAAACACTCTAACCTTTAGTACATGGGAAGTAGTATATCATTATACAAAATAGTACATTGTGTATGAACTGGGGATAACAAAAGAATACTACAAAATATCTTTCGAAAATACATCCTTGCATCTTTTATATCCCTTTCATTGTTGAGTATAAGTGAACGCTTTATCCAAATTTGCTTTGTATTATTCTACTGCTACTATTTCTAGACTTAATGGTGCACAAATAAATATATCTCTAAGTTTTCAGAGGGTTCATTTGTTTAACACACACATGTCACTCATTTGGGGATGGAGCTTACTTAAAAATTACCATTCGTCAAAAGCTTCACATGAATAGTGGAGTTTTGTTAAATCCATGAGTGACAAACTCCAGCTCTAATTATAGGTTGTTTGTTTGCACTTTAATATTGCCATTCTGTTTCCCTATATTGTAATTTTGCTGTCACTCATTCTGGTTATTCTAAACAACATCTGTTGCATACCTATTTTCCACAGTCAAATGTTTCTCTGTTATTGAATTACATTTTTCTTTATTGAATCTATGGTTTAAGGAGATAAGTGGAGACCATATTTGGTGATATATAAATAAAGGCTTTAAAGTGTATTTACATTTTACAGTATGAAGAACAGTATAGGATGAGGATATGGGGCACCCCTTGACTGAATATCCATGTAAAAGGACAAGGGTGTCTCATTTACTTTTTGAATGTTTATCATAACAGACAGTGGTAAGGAGGGTCTAAATGTTACTTGTATTTTTACTTGAGAAAAGCTGCACCACACACCGGTTCTTATAAGGGTTCTTATTCAGTGATACTTGGGTGACATCCACTGGTAGCAGCGCTGTAGTGAAACATTAATACCAACCTCCACACTGTAGAAATTCAAAGTCACTGATATGTCTATAGATGAGAAGATTATACAGTAGGAGCCGAGGCCCCCCCCCCCCCCCCTTATTGTCTCTGTGCTGCAGTCAAGATTGTGTGCAGTTTCTTGCATTGGCTGTCTGATAGTCCAATATGTTGTGCCTATACATAAAAGTGTTTAATTTCTCAACTTTTGGAGACTACAGAGAGTAGCATATTGTCCTATTGCCTACATGAGTGTCATAGACTGCATGGAAATAGATGGTTAAATCATCAGATGGTCAATAGTTAAATTAAAAATGTGTATTATTTCCAGCTGATCAAAGAAGGCTTTGTAATCAAATGTATTATAGTTACAGTACATATACACATAGGTTGTGTCGATGATAGGCAGACCCCCAGTAGTGATGATAGAACTACTTAAAAACACATGTCAGCCTAAGTAAAGGTGAAATAAATACTTTACCCTGGACAAAGTTATAGTGGGGGTGTCAAATCCGGCAGCACCATCACCTGGTCTGCCATATGTGGAAGCCCCTCTATAGTTTTTCACCTGCTGAGCCCAGAGTAAAATGCTTTTGTGTGCACAAACTAGAGGGGGACAGCCAGGGGCGTCGCCTGGACCTGAAAACATTCGGGGCTTAGCCCACAGTGGCGGCGGCACTACAGTGGCATTTTTCACTGCAACACTCCCCACACACACAGTACACCCGCGACTGTTACAATGAAGGCTCGATAATCAGCTCACGGCATATAGGCAGGGGTAAAGTGGTCTTTTTTATGAGTGGGTGGCTCACCTCCTCTAGGGGGGTCCGGGGGGATGCTCCCCCGGGAAGATTTTTTTTTAAATATTGAAGTTAAATGCATCAATCTGGTGCACTTTGAGAGCAAAATGAAGAGATCTATGGATACCTCTCTCAACACCCATATGAAGCAGAACTGTAAACAGATGTACTTTTTCTTTATGGATATTTTACTAATCACTCCCCTTTTAAACTCTATTCTTGTTTTACTACCATATAGTATTTCATAACTGTTTTTCCTTCATTCTCTTTTTTTTAATAACTATAATGATCATATGAAGGTGTGCCGCGGAAATAATCTTTTGAATAATTTGTGACCAAACCGTTTGAGACCCACTGGGATAACTTACTAAAGTTAACTATCTAAACACTCAGAGAGTCCTTTAGCTCAACTGAGTCTCTCAGTCTGAGAGGAGAGGACTCTCCTCCAGCTTCTTGTGGAACAAACAGCTCCTTATGTCGTTAGTGCAGCTAGCTAACCAGATGCTAACAACACGGTCCATGCTGACACCGGACCCTCCCTCTCTCTCTCTATCACACAATGCGCTATTGCCACACACACACACAGAGCCGAGCTTGAATGACACAAGCACACGTTTATTTCCATGCAACTCTCTGATTGGTCTGGTGTCATGCCTCTGTTGCATTCACTGAACACGGGAAATTACAGTGCTGCCGTCCTCTCTTGTGTCATGATGAGGTTCACGTAAAGCACGGTTAATGTATTATATTATCAGTGGCGACTGGTCATTAGGGGCAGGTGGGGCACAGCCCCACCTAGTGTCAGCAGAAAGTATTACACATAATGATTACAAAAAATGGAAAGAGATGCAAAAAAAGAAATAAAAAAATATATAAAATATATTTTAAGGTCATGTTTAATCATCTGATTCGTCTGTACATTGCTGTTTTAGTCTGTGTTCTTCTAATTAGTGTCTACAGTGCCGTTTTGAGCCATGTGGGACAAAACCTGATCATGCCCCACCCTTTCACTGTCAAAGTGAACGGTGACTGTAAAAACTACACTGCGCATGCTCAGAGTATTTTTCAATGTAATGTGTGTGGCAAAAATAAAAACACCATAGGGGCACAGAGCTGCCATCCCCACCATACGTCATCTCACATCATACAGAGCTGATTGGCTGTAAGTACGTGTGCCGCGAAAAGTGTGGTGTGTGAAGAGCATGGATGTATAATAAGAGGAGACGAGAGCTGCAGTGACGCGTCCTAAAACCAGGAAGTAAGCTGCAAAAAAGCAATGAAGTTTCTCCATAGGATTTTAGAAAATAGCTCGAAATAAGATCTGTGGGAAACGTACCTGTTAGATAAATGCACGTTTTGTTCAGCCGGATAATATCCACATGTCTACCCTACTTTTATAATTTTCGAATCATAAATCTATCGATTAGATTTATGATAGACTTTTGAAACTACAAGAAGATAAGGAGGACTTTTACAAAAAAGTTATAGAATTTTTTGTCCAGAAGGATAGGCAAATGGACTTCATCTTCAAGTCAAGGTAAGACCGCAATTTTTTGAAAATGGGATCTTACTAAGAGAGAACAATTCAATATTTAAATGATAAAATTACATTTTTTGGGTATCCTTTTGTTGAACTGTCTGTTTAAAATTAATCGAAGCATCAGACAAAAAAAGCTTTTGAAAATAATATTATATTTTGGTTTAGGTCAAAATATAAGATTTGTAAACCTGAAGAGTCAGTGCCAGTGCCTCACCAGCCATGAACCTCACTGCACGTCACTGCAGAAGCTTATAGACATCTAAGTTTTTTGTGCCCCACCACTTTTGTACATATAAAAACGCCACTGTATATTATTGAGGGAGAATTGTCCGGGGCTACAGAAAAAACATTCGGGGCTAAAGCCCCGGATGCCCAGGCCAGGCGACGCCACTGGGGACAGCAAACACCAGTGTGATTTTGGTGACAGTACGACTATCTTGGACAAAGTTATAGAGGGGGTGCCAGATCCGGCAGCACCATCACCTGGTCTGCCACATGTGGAAGCCCCTCTTTAGTTTTTCACCTGCTGAGCCCAGAGTAAAATGCTTTTGTGTGCACAAACTAGAGGGGGACAGCAAACACCAGTGTGATTTTGGTGGGAGTACGACCACCCTGGACAAAGTTATAGTGGGGGTGCCAAATCCGGCAATAATGTCTGACTCTATCATATGTGATATCATTACTTGTCATTTTTGTATTCGTGGTTATCAAGTATCAGACACTTAAACAACAGAGAATGTTTTATAAAATAGTAGGCCTACTATACTGACAAAACACATATTATCCTTTCACCATGTATTCTGTAGGAATAAAACATAAAAACACTGACGTTTATTCCAATACGAAAAATGTTACAGAGTAAATCGTTTCTTTCGTTCTTCCGCTTAGAAAACTAGACGTAACGCCCAATAATTGAAATTACGTCAGCCTTTCGCGTCCCTGCGAACACGGCTTCAATCCACGGCAAACCTTCAACCTACGGCACAACACCGGTACCTTACTCCCTGTTCGCCTGGTCTCCGCTAGGGCCGCTCACCACTCTTTTGTTTGGGGACTGGTGCGGTGGGAAAGTACGTGAAGGCAGTGTAAAGGCAAGCTGGACTAGCCATGGTGGTGGTGAGGCTGTGAAGCGTTTTGTCGATAAAGTGAGTAACTTTAACATAACTTTTAATGTTACGCTGTTTTGGAATGGTGTTGTTGGGCATACATCCAGTAAATGTACCGTAATGTAAGTGCTCACTTCACTAGTTGGTGTAAGGTTGTTCAACGTTTATTCTGTTTAGGCGAACTAGCTTGACTACAAAGTTTTGGACTAGCTTAGCTGCTAATGGCTAACGTTAGTTTGTCAAAGTCGCTAAAGTTAGCTTTCCAGTTTGTTAGCTCCTGTAACTAAGACAGCAGTTCCGTAACTATTGTAACAACCATTGTACAATTATCGTAGCAACGTAACTTTCTGATCTACTTTACTCATGTGTCAGTGAAAGGTAACATAACATTGTAGCGGTTAGCTGAAGCTACGTGTTTAACTAGCAGGACTGCTAACTGTTAGCATTCAAAGCGTTAACGTCAACGTCAGGAGGATACCTATCGTTAGCCAGCTAACCGCTAACGTCATGGGAACATTAACCTTTTCCGTTAAATTACTTGAAATATAAGCTAATCTAACACATCGGTTTACGTTATGTTTCCTTTGTTTCTCTTTTATAGGATATCACTTTTTTGTTGCTTTCGCTGGTGTGTCTTGCTAACATCAATGTTAGCAACAAGCCTGTTCGTGTAAATGCTATTCACTAGAATGGACCTGTTGAACTCTCAGTTCCTGGACAAGATGAACAATAACATCGGGAGACTGCACTACGAAGGTTAGTTTGACATTGTTTGCGTGTTGTTATGTGTCCCAATACTGTGTATTTCACGTGTTATGTTGAACCAATAAGTTTAGTTTTCTTTCTATAATTAAAATATCATTTTTTTTGAGTGTTTTGCTTTTCAACTAACGCTATTTCGGAGACGCAACTTTTTTTTTCTTCTTTTGTTTTTTTTGTACGTCAATTTAGATTAAAGATACATCGGCATATGTTAAACTCACATTGTTTTGAGGAGATAAAGTGAATACTACTGTCTGCATGTTTAACTTCTTAGTTGGAAAGACTAGAACTCACTAATTATTCACTACTAATTCTAAATACCGGAAATGCTACAAAAAAATGACCATCGGTTTTTCTCATACCCTCCTTCAAAGCTTATAATAAACTCTAAACACACCTAATAACCCACAAAGATGTGAATACTGTATGATCCAGATACATAATATGAAACACTATATAAATATGGCCTAATTTGATGTAGGAAGGACTTATGTCTGTGTTCGCTGATAGTGTCTATGGGGAGGCCATCCTCCAAAATACATCTTGTTAAAATATGAATAAACACAGTTTCTAGAGAAATATATTGACAACAACAGTGTTGTTTTTGTTTTTAAGGAGAGGGTTTTACTTCAAAACAAAAGGACTCTCTTGTTGATTGCACAACAATTTTAATCAAAGCTGCCTTCAGAAATAAAATCCACCTCTGAAGACCAAACAAAGACCTCAACCTTCCATATTTAGGAGGGTAATCTGGAAGACAGGTTACTTGCCTTTTTAAGAATAATTTTTCAAGAGGATATGACTAAGCTAATAGCCTTAATTAAACACATTTCTGCTCTTATTTAGCAGGCAAACACCAAATTAGCTGTGGTCATGTTCATGAATCTAAAGTTAATCAAGGTTATTTATACTGCTGATTCCTTTACCACAGATGAGTCCAGGACACCCTCCCTGCCGACTGCCATGTCCAACATCACTGGCCCTCCTCCTCACTGCCCAAGCAAACGGAAGTATGGCGAAGAACAAATGGATGACCAAATCAACTGTGATGATGACCACATGACCAAAATGAGCAGATTGTTTGCCACTCAACTGTAAGAACCTATACTCAAAACCATGTCGAAAATACTTTTAAAAAAAAAGTCAGTTTAGCTTTTCACATACATTTTTTTGTACAGTATATAATTTAAGTCTTTAACCTACGTCAACCACCAAAAGTGGAAAAAAGAGATATGTAGCTGGTTCAGAACTCATTATGCTCAGTTATGCATTTTCTTTTGCCAACAAATTGAAATACGTAGCACAAGGCAATTTTACGAATATTTAAAGGTACTGTGTGTATAGTTATTCAAGAGTACTGCTTTATATTAGTATTATCCATTCCCCAAACCCCAACATTGTTATTTACTCTCTGCCCTGCCTTAAACGGCAGAAATACAGAAACATTGTATTAAACACATACACACATATCAAACCATTCAGCTTGAAAAAGTCCAGTTTGAAGTTTTTTAAACAAATGTCTGAATGCGACCTTACAGCATTAACTCTGGTGGAATGCAAGGATCACCTCCAGGCTATAAAGTGTCATAAAAAACTTGATTAGCAGCAAAACAAATTCTGCAGGAGTGAAAAATCACAACAGTTTCTGAGAGATGCCTACAACCACTGATGTGCTGCACAATACCAAATACAAGACCACCACCCCAGTTTACGCTGTGTAGATGCAGCTATGGATTGTCTATGAAAAATGTAGTTGTTGGTATATATTTAATATGAATGTTCTTTTTCTAGGGCCCGTCCCTCTGCTGGAGACAATCGTAATGAACACTGGAGCCTTGCTCATACTCCTATGGAGCATGTTACTTCCTCCTCCAACGGTCTCCATGGGAACCACCTGTATGCTTCTTATTCTAGCTATGCTGTAGACCAGCCTCTGGCTCTGACCAAAAGCATCCACGACGTTGGAGTCAGGACCAAAGGGAGGTCTGTCATTAGCGGGACTGTGGAGCGACAGCAGGTATGTCAACTTCTATAACTTATTTATGGTATAACTTAAGTTAACAGTAAGAAGAAAAAAGAAAGCACTTAACCTTTAATGGGGGAGTGATACAATAGAGTGTGCGGTATAAACATTAAATCATTTTGATAAATTCAAGTGGTGTTCATGCCTGCTGTATCTGAGCGGCCATGATTGATCCACGTGATGTACATTTTATCGTGTGACTATACACGCGAAGGTCCACCAGTCTTATTGCAACTGAAACATTTTGACTGCGCAAGCTGTAGCGAGACACTTCCCCACGTCGATGCTTCTCATCTCCGACGATGTACTGATATATTTTAATCTCCTTGGTCCTACTTTTGGTAAGCGGTCACACCCATTTTCCCTTTATTCCTCCTTCTTGTTGTTTAACCTAACACTTTCCTGCTGCAATGAGATCGGCATCTTATTAGCTATTGTCTGTGTACACAGATCCCAGACTGTAGTATGTATAAGATTGCGTCTGCTTGCAAGTCTACAACTGTCCGTGTACATATTGTTTTGATAACCCCTTATTCTAATTGTATTAGATTTCAGATTAGTCTGTTGGGTGTACCACTGTCATGTTTTTTTTTTGGTAATACCTTGAATCGGCTGGAGACAATTATCTTGGTATTTACATATTCAGAGAATGTTGAATTCTCAATTTACCTTGAACCAGTAGAGTAAACTCTTATCAATAATTTATTAACAATGTGTACAATATATTAACAATCTGGAACAATATGCTAAGCTGTGCAGAGTATTTTACACAGTTCTTTGTAGCTGATTGTATGAATGTTTTCCACCTATAGAATCGTCCCTCTGTTATTACCTGTGCCCCTGCGAGCAACCGTAATTGTAACCTCTCGCACTGCCACATGAACGGCTGTTTACCCAGCCCACCTGCTGATGAGATGAAGACCAACGGTGAGCCATAATCATTACTATACATCATCATAATAATCTAATGTTTATATATAGTAGTATAATATTTGTGATATATTACATGCATGATAATAATCAGGTTTTATTGCCTCCACACATAATGGCCTTTCAGCCAACACAGAATGCGATCCTGTGATTGAGGAGCACTTTCGTCGCAGCCTTGGAAAGAACTACAAAGAAGCAGAGCCTGTGTCCAACTCCGTGTCCATCACCGGTTCAGTGGACGACCACTTTGCCAAGGCGCTGGGAGATGCCTGGCTTCAAATCAAGGCTAAGGATGGGGGTTGTCAAACCCCAGAGGCAGATCAATGAAGCAGAGGGAAGTTAACATTACCATCACTTCCTTACTGTTTCCATATGAGAGTGGAGATGGCCCACCGTCATTTCTTGCCAAGCATCAACTTCCCTTAGCCAAGAACAATGTAAGTCATATGGTGCTCACATAGGCTGTTCCCTTGTGGACATCCAGGTCGACTTTTTAGAACGCTCAGTTCATATTTATACTCTAAAAATTGGCTCTTCATTGAGAAAAGAACTATTGCGTAGTTGGGTTGACAATGTTAGATGTGGAAACTGTACAATCAGAATTTTTTTATTTTGCATTTAAAATAAGATTCACAAAGTGTTTGGTTGTTTAGGAGCTCATGTTCTTGTTTGACTTTGCCTTTACTTTGCATCAACAGCCAAAGAATTTCCCTTCATGTCCCATCAACATATAAGCCATAGATCTTCCTTTCTAAAATCACACTGCTCTTTAATCTTTTTTTACTTGAAAAAGTCAGCCAGATGTCATTTTCTCTTTTTACAATTCTGACGTTTAGGTAGCAGGTTACCTTCATAGATTCGTTTTGAATCAATGTGTTCAAGAACGATCCTTGTGTTTTGAAATTGTGGACATGCAATTAATGCCCCCCCCCCCCCCTTGTACTTTCTGAAGACATTAATAATGTCTTATTTATGATTCTGAACTGGACTTATCCACTATTAACTGAATTATTTTAGTTTCCTGTCTATATGCTAACTGTGGCTGATTACTTAGTAAACTAATATCAATCATAGTAGATGTGCCTAACTAGAAAGCATGTTTCAAATAGCTGGTTTCTATTACAAACCTTATTCTATACTATATATTTACTCAGAATTTATTTTTTATCTGTAACATTTTAGAAATACTCACTGCTGGTACAGTTGTACTCAATATATTTTTTGTATCTGGTTTTCATTACTATATGTAGGTGTATATCTTAGCACCCACCTACAAATCGCAGCCTCTGGAAAGGTTGTCTGAATGCAGTTTAAAAGGCTAACTTGCTTTGTTATTCTGTGGACCTGGATGCTTACGCTTTCTAAATGACTGAATACAGCAACATCTGACCTTTCAGTAGCAGTCTGCTAGCAGTGGCTTTATTTATTTTGAACATGTCAATAGTTACATTTTGGACTTGGTGACAACAAACTAACTGTTACTTTCTAACAGGAAGTCTTCAATGCTTCAATTGCAAAGCAGTTGATTCCCCTTAGAACTAAGATTTAATGCCCATGCAATTCCTGAACAAATATTATTATTATTATTATTATTATTATTATTACACCATGGCTGCCTGACCCTTATTCGTCACTCCAGTTTTGTTAAGAATGACAAGTATGTATGTCTTTTATGATCAAGGCGGTGTCGTGGTGTGAGCTGCCATATCTTACTTTAAATAGAGAGAAAGGTGTCAGTGGGTAACAAAGGTTTTTTTTTTGTGCAGATTAGTTTTGTTGAATTTTCTTTCTCACCCTTCTGAAATTCTCTACTTAAGGTAGCCTAACCTATTTGTCAACACTGATTAAGATATGGTATTGCAATTTCAGTTTTTTTTGTATGTCAATTAACTGTCATATACATTTGTATTAATATCTTACAGTTTTTGAAATTGTTACATACACTATCCTGTCTTTATATATTTTATTTTACTCATTTAAGACTATCGTTGCGCCGCGCGGAATGATCATAGATATTTGTTTTTATTCAGAGTAGTGTACTCCTATGTAGCATGGGTGCTTATTATCTTCTAACCATGCTTTTGTATCTTCCTAAAGTTGGTTTATCTTCCCAGAATTGTCAGATGATGAATACGTGCAGGAACACAACAGTCTTTCGATCAAAGACTTTCTTGGTACAGTGTCAAAGACTTCTGTACTAACGGTTAAAGAGTTTGTTTAGCTTCTGTGTGTACCTTAGCGGAGTTTAGGGATTATCATCGAATCTGTTTGTTTGACACAAGTAGATGTTTCAGTAAGATGTTTGGGGGTATTAGTCCATTGTTATTTAATTGCTATATAGACTACCTGTACTTTTAAGACTGTTTGCAGAAATGACCTGCTGCAGGTGTCATACACATAGAAAAAAAAGTAATATTTGTTCACTTTTGTCCTTTTTTCTCTGGAAGAAAATGCCACTGTTTTGTACTTAATTTCTTCCAAATAAACATAAAAATACCTACCTTTTGCATATTCTTGTAACATCATTCATACCAATTAAATGTGAAACAATCCACTCATTCAGCCACATACATAATGTTAATTATAATCAGCAACATTAAAAGTATGTTAATCCAGTTAAAATAATGAAGTTTATGGTTGGTATAAATAAAAATACTTATCAATTGGGTTGCTAGGATAGTAGGATGCAATTCAATCTCATCCAAGTGTCTTTGTTGACAATGAATCAAAAATAGGGTGCTTTGGAAAGAAACCACTTTAAGTTGTAAGGTTATTGTTTATTGCAGACTGTTGATTAACATACAAATTGTGTTATAGTACTGTTATATTGGTTAATTGTCAAACTCAAGACGTCTTGTTGCTTCAATGTACAATAACAAGGTGGTTACTCGGATTAGAGCCCAATACAAGCAATAAGGAGTCATGGCTCCTTCTCTATTGTCATTGGACCAGCGCTGCCACGGCTACAAAATGAAGTGATTTGACAACATGTTAACCAGAACTGTTTTGTTTTCCGAGGGACCAACATTGGAAAAATGTCCTTTTATACTACTCCATAGATATTAAATGTGATGATACTATCTGTAAATATAGTATATTGGACAGTGCCTGGTGTGTTCCTGGTGCATCCATAATTGTACGTATGTTGACAGTCTCATAACAGCTGTATGTTTAACACCTTTTATTTGTACTTAATGGCTGTTAGTGCGTAATAAATTCTATGGCAGAGTCATCATGTCCTTGACCAACAGCTGACGTCTTCCCACAGACATTAAAGTTGAAGCCTCTTTGGCTAGAGACATTGTTTGGTTGATCTGGTGTCATGGTAACAAAGAATGGGATGATTGCTGTTGGAAAAATCCATTGCTTTTAAAGAGAGAAAAGGGTAGGATTATCAGTGATAAAAATGTTTTGACTCAGACATTGATCTAATAAGCCTTCAGCCTCAACATTATTATGCTATAATGGAAATGAGATACTGTATGACCAGGCTGTAGTTAAATCAGAGATAAACTGGATTCTCTTTCCCAACCAGCAGATGGCAGTGTTAAACCACTCTACACACACACACCCAAATTCTCTTATTCCCTGGAGATCAAACAAAGACACGGGCGTCATCATTTTGGGAAGAGTGATATGGATGCAGCATTTCTTCAATGTGTCCGTTAGTAATGTGAAAATGTCCTTTTGTTTTAAAAAGAGTCTATATGTGTCAAGAAATAGCTGTCATACTGAGAGCAGAATGGATTGTAGATGTTACCCAACATGGCTCCATATCCCAGACTATTGCCTTAAAGGATCTTTTTTGAAATGTAATTGAAGATGTATTTATGTATGGGAAACATTGCGTCGGATTAGCATATCCCTCTTTAAATTTTAGGATATAAATAGATCCCTTAAAGGCTGAATGGAAATGGAAATGAGTATACCTCCACTTTGGTTAATTTGAATTTGCCCAGCACCATTCATAAAGCAAATCTTTAAACTAGAAAGAGAGCTTTTTTTTCTTTCTTTTTGGTATTTGTTGCTCTCACCCCTCGGGCTCAAATCTGCTCAAAAGCCCCTCCAACAGACCACTGCCTCCACGAGATTAGAACGAGCCATTCACCAACCACAATGCCCCTGCTTCTGCTGCACCATGCCTTCCAAGGACGCCTGCTCTTGTGGGATTATAGAGAGGGGAACACATCTTTCCTACTTGTGCAAAACCAATCGCAGATCCACACACCGACAAACTACTGCACGCACATACTGTAGATATAAGGCCACATTGATAGCCGGCATGAAAATAGTGTCGAAATCAAGATGACACATCAGGGTCACGCCAATTTCGACTTGGCCCCTTCAATGTGTGAAGGCCACAAGGAGCATGACATCTGGGCCTGCGATGGAGGACTGGTCTCTCAGTCGCTGCCCCCTGTTATTGCTGTAACAGGATGGACTCTGCTGCTTTCAGACATGGTCAAGACACACATATGTTGAACACTGTTCGTTCCGTTTTGCTCTTGGTTACATAAAAGTAAGGAACCAATGGAAGCTGTTCAACAGAGTGGACACGGTATGGAGTGATAATTAATCCACATGGATAAATGCATGATTTTACTACAGACTGAATGGAAAAAGTTGCCCCAGCAGTGTCACACATGTTGGCTCAAATGTTGCCTACATAGCCTATACAAAAATAAAGATCTTATTATTTGCATAATTCCAAATTTGTTATGCCTGAATAGAATGCGAGGCTGCACCCGTATCTACAGAATCCCAGAGTGCACAACGTCTGGGGAATTTGCATGATTGCCTGTAGATTATTTCAACATTATCCATTCCCCCTCCTCTTTTTTCTTATTTCTGTGGCTCTCTGCTGTGAGGATGCACACACATCCTTGGGCAAAAGCATCTAAAATAGATCATACAAGCAACTGGAGTAGATGCACAGGCACAGGAAGCAGCTCACGGGCACACTTGAGTCATGCTGGCAAGATCATGCACCCTAAGCTGACAGCCCAACACACCCGATTACCAAGCACGTCATTTCTAAAATGCAGCCGTAGCCTCACTATAGGTCGCATGCAAGGGCGGAATTATTGCGATCAGGCGCTGATTTACCTATGAATGACTGTTGAATGTGGTATTGATTGAGTGTAGGGTAGGTGCGTACTTTAAGATTTGAGCATCTCTGGCTCCAACAATTGTGGCTCATTCATTCTGTCATGTGGACTGCTGGCAATGGCATAACCTTTGTGGAGGGAAGGGAAGACAACACGGTCACTCTGGATAACAGTCTCACGATGAACAGAAACAGACCCTGTCAGGCCATCTCAACATCAGCTCTCAGCTGCACACCACCGCCAACACACTCTCCCAATCGCTCTTTGCCTTTTCCTCACTTCCTCCTTCGATCAGTTAAGACAGCTCCTTCTTGATTAGGCCGTCTTGTGTGGCGTGCATGTTACATTGATTTGGCAGGGTCCTATTAATACATTTCTCCTTTGCAACCCTCCATGTTGCATGCTGTTTCAGCTCCATCTTTGACCTGTTTTGTTGCGCCACATTTGGCTTGCCATAAGGCCGTATGGTGCTTGACACAGCCAGTCATTTCTTACCAATACAGTTGGCTTACACTTCATACTTTTATATATTATTGATTGATTTGTAAATGATTGATTTTAAGGGCCATATGCTTTGCAGTAGCATGACTGTGCTGCCATTTTGCTGTTCCTTCAAGGTAATGAATTGCTTCCAATTAGGGCATACAAATGATGGGCTAATATTTCGTGTTACAGACTATATTTTTCCTACAAGATCAGGAACCCATGTAATTATTCAAATGAATTCTCTTAACAATCGACCAAAAGGATGTGTATTGAAACAGTTAGAACTGGGCACTGAGCAGGAGATAAATGTTTGAACCATCACTAAAGGGCATTCTCATGTCTCATTATGAGGCTTGTTAGGGCCCACATTACAGCTGCTTGACTAAGCAGCTGTAATAAGGAAAGTGACCTAACACCAATATGAGCAGCAATGTTTTCCCTCACAAGTCCATCTACTACTCCTGTCTTCCAGGGCCCTATCTCTTTCCTCTGATCTGTCTGCCCCCCCCCCCCACCCCGCCTTTGCCACAGCGCACCACCATACCACTCCCCCCGTGTGTTTTGGCAGTCACACAGTCGGCCATGTGTGTGCTGAAGACGTTACATAATGCCCTCCTTTCACTGCACTCCAGATCAAAGAGACCAATCCAGCACAGAAAAATGTCTCCTTACTGATTTTTCTTCTCTTCCACCTGCGCATTGTTTTATCAGACTTAAGGGCCCAGAGATTGTACAGTAGACTGCTTTATTATCTGCTCCAACATTCCCCTTCATGTTGAAACGCTTACAGAGCAAATGGGGAATGGTCAGAGGTTCAATGTAAAGAAGAAAAAAAAGCCCCAGGTTCGACCTGAAAGACAAGATTCTTCATGTGCATAAATCTTTAGATTGCACCTTTTTGATGAGCTTTCATTCACACATTTGATGTATATTATACACAAATGCAGGGAATTTGACTTTGACCCAGTCAGAAGAAAGGATCAAATTAGGTGAGCTGTGGCGATTGATTTTAATTAAAAAAAAAATGTAATCGCTTCACGGAAAAGCTACAAAACGATTGAATACGTCGTAGCTTTAACGTTTTATCCACAGGGGCTGGCCTCTTTTACAAAAGGAAAAACATCCTTAAAAAAATGATGCAATTTTGATGAAATTACTTTTGAGAAAGGGTTTTGCAGATCTCTTTTTTAACTTCTTTGTGCACAGGGAGAATGATTGTCACTGTGACGCAGTTACATTTTCAGCTGTTTCACCACACATCCTCACACAAAGCCAGGTAGTCTTGATAAATCAAACAGAAATAGAAATAAATAGAAAACAAGGTCAAAACAAGAAAAAACCCAAATCCTTTCTCTATCAAGTGGAAGAAATGGTGACACAGAGAGAGAAAGAGCAAGAGCATCAAATGCTGTCAAAGAGGCCGGGTCTGTCCACTGCGTTGTAAGTATTGAAATAATGAGTGTGTGCTGGGGGAACATTTACCTCCAATGCCAAATGTAGGCAGCACATTTTGAGACTAAAGGGCACTAATGACAAGATAAAGAACAGAAAAAAGCCGTTAGTGTACAAGTGTGAGGAAGTAGTTACTCTGTAAGAGGAGAAATGTGTTCAGCCTTTGCACAGTGGTGTACAGCAGTCTAATAGGATGAGGAACTGTATTTGGTGCTTGAAGGTGTATGTATAACATGCACCATTGTCGCTGACTGTCTCCCCACAGTGAGCCTCAGCCCTATTTGATTTCCTCTGAAGAGCTGGGATCAGCAGCAGTCCTTATTTCTGTAAAACCCCCCAGTGATGGAGAGAGGTTGGCGGTGTGAGAGAGCGGAGCATCAGGGTTATATCTGGTCCTCAGCATCGGGGGAATGTGCAGGTGAACCAGGGATAAAGGCATCTTTAGGGTACTGCAC